GATAAACGCCCTGAGCCCTACAGCCCTGAGCACCTGTAGCCAGCAAGGAGCGAGACAAGACCCGAGAAGCAGTGGGTCCCGACTGGAGCCATTGCCCTGGAGCACAACGACTACGCTGCTTGGGGGTACTAAAGGTTTAGGGTTCAGGCTTTTTCGGTTCGAGGATTTGAGGATTTGAGGTTTAGGGTTCAGGCCTTTCGGTTTTTGAGGGTTTGAGGGTTTGGGGTACAGGGGCTCAAGGCTTCGACTTTGTAGTCTTGGGTTTGTTGCTTGAGGGTGTTGGGGTGCATTGTGGCTTGAAGTGTTGGGTGCCCAGGGAGAAGTGAGATGGCTTCGATTGTTGTCCGGAGCACTGCGCCATCTAGGACGACAGGGCAAGAATCAGAACCCTGGACCCCAAACCCTCTAAACCCTAGACCCTAAAGTGAGTGAGTGAGTGAGTGAGTGAGTGAGTGTCGACCTGGGGTGCTCTCCGGCCCTAAACCCTAGACCCTAAACCCTAAACCGGAAAACCCTAAGCCCTAAGCCCTGAAATCGTAAACCTTGAAGCAACAAGCCCGGAGACTCCAATATCCCCGAATTACGGACTATACCTTATATTATAGTGGGAGCCCTAATAAGATTTCAGGTATATTCCTCACTGCAGGGGTATTGGAGACCCTGGGAGCCAGGTTTCGCAGACGTATCCTGGAAACTCGCGCTTTAATCTCTTCTCGGTGACTTGCAACGACGTGGACGTCGACAGCTGCTCCTAGCCGGCAGCCGAAAGTCCACAGGATCTCGTTACCATAGGGGTCTAGATAATTGCCAATAGTATAAGTATAGCAGTGCCTTTCAAGGGGTGTATATATATATATATATATATAATATAATATAAGGGCTACTATAAGGGCCATTATAAAGACTTAGTATAGGGGCCTTTGTAATTACCAATACTATTTGGAGGGTTTATTATTATAAGTGCAGTATAATGGACAACAAAGCCCTGTTCTAATTATTAAGGCACCTACATTTGGGTTTAGGGGTTCGCAGCCCCGGAACCTCGAATGTTCCAAACCCTAAAGCGCAAACCCCTGAAGGCCTAAACCCATAAACTGAACCCTCTACATGGGAGTTTTCCGAAAATCGGAGACCCTAATATGGTATCCGCAGTAGGATCCTTATTACAAGGACCCCAAAATCCGGCACCCCCACTTTTCGGAAACTCCCATATAAGCCTTAAGCCTGAAAGCCTTATCAGCATGTCTCGATGGCAATACCGCTAGCGGGTACAGAACCAAGCACGTGATGATAAGCACCGAGTACACGATGCAAAAGATTCCTAGACCAGCATCACGAATATGCTGGAACAGAAAGCTGAAGATTACATGGGGTGCGTGTGGAGAGTTAGCAAGCTGGCAGTCGAGGTTCAGTAGGCTGCTGCATGATCCTGAGGCTAATGTAGAGGTGTGAATAGCTACTGGCTGTATCCCCTTACAGTTGCCTCATCGCCCTCCACAAAATATCCTACTCTAATTCTTCCGGCCCCTATATTCGAAACACTCTGCTAAGGCAACATCTTGGATCCCAAGTATCTTCAGCGGTTCCACGAGATCAACGAGACTTTGCTCACAGAGTTCTGTGTCGGTCTTTAGGACTCGCAGATGGAGCTTGACAGCTTAGGAGAGGATCCTCAACATCACGATCGATGGCGACGAGATTGTCTCGGACTTGGATGAGAGGCGAGGCGTTCGATGAAAGATTGACATGTTCGACAGATCTTAGTGCGAGGTCAGTGCCATCCCCTCATCACAGAAAGCTGTAGCCACGGTCGAAGTGTTGGGAGGCACAAGCGCAGCGAGGGTGACAATCGCCCTTGGACCCAGTATGCTGGGGATTGGCCGCTCGCTCGCATTTGGGTGGGTGCATCCATAGCCACGTGATAGGTGCCGAACCAGCTACTCCCCCCACAGTCTTCCGGTAGCGTTTTATGCACAAAGAGCTACCCCCAAAAGCACATCAGCTTAGTTCCAAACTCGAAACTAGACACAGCCAATCATACTCACCATACCACCACCGCCGCCGCCGCCACCACCACCACCACCACCGCCACCACCGCCACCACCGCCACCACCACCACCACCACCACCACCACCACCACCACCACCACCACCACCACCACCACCACCACCACCACCACCACCACCACCACCACCACCACCACCACCACCACCACCACCACCACCACCACCACCACCACCACCACCACCACCTCGGCTAGCATTATCATAGTTGTCGTTGGCCGCCATTCTGCCGTCATCGCACTCGATTTAGCAACATCACCACCATCGTCATGGCAAGGAGCACCCCTATTATGCGGCTCACCCTTACCGGGACTGGGCACCAGCAATATAGGGGCCTTAATAAGTAGAATAGGGTTTTGGGGCCAATTATACTACAACTATAATAATAAGCACCCCCCCCCCAAAAAAAAAAAAAAAAAAAAAAAAAAAAATATATATATATATATATATATATACTGGTGTTTATTTTGGCTCCTACAGTAACCGACGCCCGAAGCCGGCAAAACCCACCCTTACACGATGTCTTCAGTTCAAGGAACTGCCAGGGCTTTGAGCGCCAAAGTTGAAGCCGTGTTGCTTAGGGCTCAGGGTCCAGGGTCTAGGGTCTAGGATTTAGGGTATAGGGTTTATGGATGTTTATGGGTAAGTTTCGAATTTTGGGGTGAGTTGAGAGTTTGAGATTAAGTTTCGGGATTCGTCTTGAAGCTACCTTAGCCCGCTTTCAAGAACTCGAACCAGCGAATCCGAATACACCATACCAAACAACGTTCTGATATGACAGGGAAGCACAGCCACTCGAGTCCGCCCACGTATCTCCGAACTTGAGGATGAAGGCTTTTCTGTTTGAGCTCTGCGATCTGACTTCCTGTCTATCTTCCTTCCTGCAGCACAAACTCCAATTAAATGACACTTGAAGCTTAATTAGCTACCACCATACAAGAAACCCCTCAAATCCTGAGCTGCCTAGAGCCCCAAAGCACCTGTGATGAATATGTACACTTGAGCCAGGCGGCTAGGTTTATCCCTCCTGCTACAAAGCCCCCTCCAATGCCCACGCGCAAAACTCTGGACCCTCACCCTACCCGTAGGATGTAAAAAGGGGCCTTAGGATAGGGTTTTGGGGGCCAATTATACTAGAATTAAGGAACCCCAGCATAACAGTATTGGTATTTAGCAAGGCCCCTATAGCAGATCCCCGAGGACCTTCAATGGGCAACCGGAGAGCGTGAACGGAAACGTACCTGGTCTCGCATAGTGACAGACCAGACAAGTTACCCTAAGGTTTGGGGTTTTGGTGGCTTCCAACACTAGTTTTGGCGTTCCTTATGATACTTACAGTATAATGGGCTTCCAAACCTATTCTAGTTGTTAAGGCTCCTACAGTAGAGCGGTCTGGGCCTCAACGGAGTGGTGCCTGCAACACGGAAACCCCCTACCCGAGGCCCGTAAGACCTAAGGCTCAGTTTGGTGGTTTGACTTAGAAGGGGCCCCACCCTGTAATAGTGGTATAATAGGAATACAATAGGGCCCTAATGTAATCCTTATAGTCACTATTACAGGGTGGGGCCCCTTCTAAGGTTTGATTCAAGAGCTTGAAGGCTTGCCCTAAACCCTAAACCCGAAACTTCGTGCGAACCCAAAATGCAGCCCTTTAAACAAAAAGCACTCTAAGTTCTAAACCCTAAATCTTAAACCCTAAAGCCTAAAAAAACCCAAACCCTAAATCTTAAGCCCTCAACCCTAAACCTTAAACCCTGAACCCTAAACCCTAAACCGAATGATGGCGAAGAGCGCCGCCTTCGAGTTTCGGCATGATGATGGTGTCTGATCCATAGGGCTTGTGTTTCCAGCGTTTTGGGATGTTTGGGGTTCAGGGTTTTAGTTTAGGGATTAGGGCTCAGTGTTCAGGGGTTTAGGGTCTAGGGTTCAGGGTTTAGGGTTTAGGCTCTATGTTCTCTGGCTGGCCGTTGCTCGTCCGTCTAGGTCGTCTTCAACGGACGCAAGTGCTTTGCTTTCGGCCCCTTCTGCGGAAGGCAGTCCATTTTGGATGTGCTGCATGCCAGCAGTTCAGGTTCTCCTGCAGAGACTTTTTGCTAGGAGCCCCTGAAGCTTAAACGCTTAGAGCCCACGTGCAGCTGTTTCCAGACACCTTGCATACAGTCGTTTGCAGCAATCCAAGGCAGCAAAGATGTTTCAGCGTGTAGGGTTGCGTGATGCTCTGTGATGGCTCGAAGAGAAATCCGTTCTCTAAATGGTGGAATGCCTGAACCCCACAGCTCCCAAACCCGAGAGAGCATGCATCCTGATGCCGGAGCCAATATACTCATTCTTGTTGTTCCTGAACATTTGTTTCGTACTCTGACTCCAAACCGTGTGAACAGAAGATGTTCATTGGTGTTGCGATGAAAAATCCTACATTTCCTGACAAGAAGACTACTTGAGGAACTCGTTGACGAATGGGTTCGGGGCTTGGCACGTAGGGTGCAGGCATATTCTACATAGAGGTCTGAACACTTTGTAACAGCATCCCTCACTTAAAAGTCCCTTTGTGTTACGGTGTACCACAATATGCCCACAACACCTTTGGCAGGTTCCAAGTGCCATCCGAAACCCTAAACCGGTTCCGAAGTGACATGCTAAACCCTGAGCCCCCAAACTGTAGGTTCCGAACCGACATCCTAGACCCTGAACCGCCATCTGTGGGTTCCGAGGTGACATCCTAAACCCTAGGCCCCAAAGTATAGGCTCGGATGAACCATCCTCGACCCTGAACCCCCAGACTGTACTTGGAGGTTCATGGGTAGTTATAACTGGGGTTACAAGTCCCCTGATACGACTTGTAAGTATAGTTACCCTCCTTGTAATCCTACTTATACCTACCCATGAACCCCAGACTATAGGTTCCGAAGTGACGACCACATCATCAACACGCTGACGATGGAGAACGTGAAGTTGGCCGTGAACGAGTGGGAGGTCCAGCCTGACATTGCAGGGTCTACAGGGTTTTAAGGCCCCCAAACCCTAGACCCCAAATGCCAAACCCCTAAACCCCTAAAGGTTTTTTTGTGTCTTTTTTTTTGAGGGGGTTTGGGCTTTGGGGTTTCAGGGTTTCTTTCTGTGTCGTGTACAAGGGGAGCATCGGAGGAGGAACCTCGTTCAGGGGATGCCTGGGACGCGGGGAAAGGACGGTTGGCTTCGGGTTCTACCCTACTTGGAGGGTCGGGGGACTTAGTAACTGGTCAGTTTAGGGACTTATAAGTACCATCACGCCCTTTAGGGTCCCTTTTAGGGGTACTTATAAGTCTACTTACTACCTACTTACTAAGTCCCCCGACCCTCCAAGTATGGCTCCTGAGAGGGTCATGGGCTCTCTGGGGGAAGGTTTGGGCTTCGGGGGCTAAGGTTTGGGATCTCGCTACAAGGGTCCCGGAGCCAGGGGTTCTTGGGCTCAGATGCCAGTGTCGATTTTCTTTACTTATAGGATCCTTAAGGGGGGGTGGTTCAAGGGGGGAGGGTACTAGGGAGCTTTGGGGAACCTTAGGGACGCTTAGGGAGTATTGGGGAATAATGGGGATTACTAGGTTACCTACCCCCCTTGGACCACCCCCCCTTAAGGACATCCTAATTTACATTGCATCTTCGCCCCGTCATTTTCTGCGGTGACGGGTGGCTCGAAGTTTCTCGACAGCTTTGTTTGCTTGTAAGGGACGACCGAACATAGTGTGAGAGCATTGTGCACACCAGCCGACGATGCCCAGGTTCATGCTAAGCACGCAAATACGTATTATAACATACAACAGACAGTATACACGGTATATGCCTTTTCGAGGACATGACATATAGGATTTGCTCTATATGATATAGTACGCTACATCGCTTTGGTTTTCGTTGCTTTTGTCGCTTCGGCTGTGAGTGTGTTTGATCTTGCTCGTGGTTCACAGGACCAGGAGAATTTCTGCCCTCTCACCATCGCGAACGCCAACTCCCCGTGCTTCAACGCCACCTGCTTGCAAAGATAGCGACCCTGCATGGTCTGTAGGTTTCGTACCCTAAACCCTAAACCCCTAAACCCCTAAGCCCTAAACCCTAAACCCTAAACCCCTAAACTTCTAAACCCCTAAACTTCTAAACCCCTAAAGCCCTAAAGCCCTAAACCCTAAATGAAGGGGTAGCACTGGGGTGCTCCGGTCAAAGGGGGTTGAGGTGCAGCCCCCAACGTACGATCGAGGCTCTGTGAGGCACTTAAAGGTCTGTATAACCACAAGGACCATAAGGGTTAAGGGTTAAGGGTTAAGGGTTCTATACCAATTATTAAGGCCCCCAGAGCTTAAAACCTTGTAGTATCCCTTAAAGGAGCCCTTTAGAGGGAACCCTATAAGTCTCTACAAAGGTTCTGTAAGAAGCCGAGGCTCTTGATTCCCGAAACCTACGGCGCCACCCTTATACCTAAACCTGAACCCGTTCTCCTGACCTAGGTGCCTTGATAAATACCAAGGACAACTGCCAGAAGTACGACACCACAATGGACCGGCTTCTTTTGACCCCAAACCTGAAGCTCGTAAACCTTAAATCCCTTTGTTTTGTGGCAGTTGATAAACATGTAGGAGGGACCCTAAACCCTCAACCCTAAAAGGTGGGAGGGGCTCTTTGGGCCCTATTTCTAGACAAAGCTCCATTTTCAAGGCTGTGGTTTTGCCTAAGCCTATGAGCCCCAAACCCTAAAATCCTAAACTTAAGCCCTAAACCTGCTCCGCTGCTCCGTGAACCTTAAGAAACCCATGCATTCGTTACATTAAGTCCTTAAGCGGCGTGGGTTTTGGGGCTCATTCACCCTCATTCTGTCAAAGGGACTGCAATCGCTGGCTTCCTTTTTTTGCGTTAGTCGGCCTTTTGCTTACATCAACCAATGGTCGCTATCACACAGCCCCTTGTGCTTCTCAACTCCAACCCCCCAAAGATTCACAGCTCTTAACCCCAAACCCCGAACCCCAAACAGTAAGTTTGGGGTGCCATATGGGTGGTTTTCAAAATTAAGGCCCCTTTTTGGGTACCCGAACTATTAGGTGCCGTATTATAATAAGGACCCAAGAAGGGACCCTAATTTTGACAACCACCATATTAGAGCACTGCTCCAAGAGGCGCAGGACCCCGAAGAGGCCTGAAGCTTTGGATCGGAAGCCCAAGCACCCACCTTTTTCGTAGGGTCCCTATGTTAGGGTTTGTAGTTTAGGGTTTAGGGTTTAGGGCTTCTATGTTAGGGTTTGTAGTATGGCCCTATAAACTATACACTGGCCCTATATGCCGCGTCCAGGAGTCTAAGCCTAGGCCACCCAGCGGGGTGGCGTTTCAGCCCTCCGACCTCAAGTACTCCACTCCGAACCTGCGTTGGACCCTATGCCGGGTGTTTAGGGTTCGCCGGCCCGAACCCTATCTTAAACCCTAACCCATAGTTGGTAGGGTTATGAAATAGGACAACTATAATTGTAACTCCTATTCGGGGACTCATAACCCCACTTGTAACTACCCATGAACCTCCAAGTTTCCTAAACCGTAACTCCCACAGTTAGCGAGACGGAACTCCACTTGACGGAGCTTATGTGGAGTATCGGCTGAGGCTTTGGGGCGCACTACAGCCAAGCTCAGTGTTTAGGGGTTTAGGGGTTTAGGGCTTACCCAGAGATTCCAATATCCCTTAATTAAGGAATATACTTTGAAATATAGCAGGATTCTTAATATAATTCAAGGTATATTCCTTAATTAAGGGATTTTGGAGTCTCTGGGTAGGGTTTAGGGTCCTGGGATACAGATGGGGAGTCTCTCAAGAAAGAGCCGAACGCAACTGAGTGAGTGCCTTCAGCCAGTGACGTTCTCCCTTCGAGATCGCAGACATTCGAAAAGCAATGTCAACAGCGACAAAATGATGAGATAATGATATGCAATGCATGCAATGGTAGCAATGAGATTCCAAAAATCAAAACTGATCAATGACCCTACGTAGTCGTGGAAGCCTCAAGCGGCAGGAGCGTGAAACCTGCCGCACCCTGGCGCGCAGCTACTGCGCCACCGAGTGCCCCACACGGACGTTTCTCAATGCCGACGGGGAGGAGGCTGCAGGATCAGACCTGGGGCTTTTTGGGGGGTTTAGGGTTTAAGGTTTAGGGTTTAGGGTTTAGGGGGTTCTACAGGAGTGCAACAGGGGTTCTTGTAGGGGTTCTATCAGGGTTCTGAAGGCTTTTCAGGTGGAGCATCCAGAGATTCTGAAAGGGTTTAGGCTTCAGACTTAGCTAGGGTATCGGGTTCTACCTAAAGTCTCCATTGTCAACCAAATATATAATTAGGATCCTATAAAGTAACCCGCATAGGAATTACAATGGGGACTATACGTACAGGATGATTCAGGCAGGTCGGTTGTAGGGAAGCTGGGCGCTGGATTGAGGAGAGGGCAGGACACCCGAATTGGAGGATCCTGATTACAGGCACCGCTCCGTAATACAGGGGCCTTACTGAACGATAAGTATGATAAGGAACCCCACAATAGTGTAGGTAACTACTTAGGCCCCTATACTATAGTGCATCAAATCTGGGAGCTGCAGTTTCCCGGACCCTATATTAGCCCTAACCGCGCCCCAACCCCGTAAAGCCCGAACCCTAAAAACTCTCAACCCCAAGCCCTGGAAACCCTAAGGCCCTAAACCCCTAAATCCCTAAACCATAAACCCCTGAACCCTAAACCCTAATTCCCTAAACCCTAAACCCCTGGAAACCCCCAAACCCTAAACCCCAAAACCCCTAAACCCCCAAACCCCAAACCCTAAATCCATAAACCCCTGAACCCCAAACCCTAGATCCCCAAGCCCTGGAAACCCCAAACCCTAAACCCCTAAGGTCTGGAAACCCTAAACCCCCAACCGCCTCGGAGATTGGCAGGTGACGATTCCCATCTCCATGGCCAACTGCAAGGCCCGGATCCTGCCTACTTCGAGGTTCATGGGTAGTTATAAGGGTTCCTTTAAGGGTCCCTTGAAAGGGATCTATAAGGATTCTACAAGGGTTTAGGGTTTTAGGGCCTACTTGGAGCTTCATGGGTAGTTAGAAGTAGGGTTATGAGTAGGGTAACTAAACTTATAACCCACATTAGGGGACTTCTAACCCCACTTATTACAACCCATGAACCTCCAAGTGGGGGTTTAGAGCTTAAGGGGTGTAAGGCTCAGGGGTTTAGGGCTTGTCGGCGGGCTGTAGTGTTTAATTCCGGATCAATACGCCCCGGGAAATACCATTACAATCCGCAGAGGCTTGCACCAGGATTGATCATAGAATTTCTGACGAGGCCGAAGTCCCCGCTGCCAGTCGTCGCCAGAACAGACATGTGGATAATGAGAGTGGGGGGCTGACTACGAGCGTGAGCGCAGCTCTAACTAGCGTGGCAACACCATTGACAATATTGATCTATTTGTCGGGATGTGTCCATGCATGTAGCCTACTTGGAGGTTCATGGGTAGTTAGAAGTAGGAATACAAGTTGGATAACTATACTTAAACGGACTTATAACCCCACTTATAACTAGCCATGAACTTCCGAGTACTTAATCCTAAAAGAGTGCACCCTGCATCGTCGGATCCTGATTGCGGGTACCCGAGACAGACAGAGGCACTCCTGGCTCGTACGCCCCGTAAACCCTGAACCCTAAACCCTAACCTTAAACCTAAGCCCTAAACCCCAAAATCCCTAAACCCTAAAACCCAAACCCCCTAACCCTTAAACCTAAACCCTAAACTTCAAAATCCCTAAACCTTACAACCAAACCCCCTAACCCTTAAAAGCCCAAACCCTACGGATGCCTAGGCGGAAAAAGGAGTTCAAAAGAAAAAAGCCCAAACCCTGCAACCCCAACACCCTAGACCCCCAAACCCCCAATCCCCCAAAGCCTTACGCCCGAATCGCCCCAGAGCCCGAATCCCGAAGTCGAGAAGCACACTTGGAGGTTCATGGGTAGTTATAAGTGGGTTATAAGTCCCCTAATGTGGGTTATAAGTATAGTTACCCTACTTATAACCCTACTTCTAACTACCCATGAACCTCCAAGCAGCGGAAATCGAGGACCGCGGCTGCATCCAGCTTGGCAGCTTCGAGGTGCTTTTAGGGTTACTCGAAGGGTTTTTGGGGTTTAGAGTTTAGAGTTTAGGGAAGTTATGGAGTTTTTGGGATTCAGGGTTTTAGGGTTTATGGTCTTAGGGTGCTGTTGTGCTGGTTGCACAGTGGCAGGAAGCCAGCGACAAGTACACATGCACACAGTCTAGAGTTCCGGGCTTCATGTTGTAGAATTTCCAAGATGGCCGACTCAAGCGAGACATTGTGCTACATGTGTTTTAGCCCTATGGTCGCCCTGTAAGGTCACTCCAAGCTAGGCCGACACAGCCACGACCCGAAACCTCAAGTGCAACGACTGAACCAGACTAAACCTTGATACTCCTGCGACATGAGATGACAGCAACGTTTGGCACATCGCTACTTCAACGGCTAGGTTTTGCAGCCTGCTGTTTCAGTCCGAATCCTGATACCGTAATCCCGAAACGTGCGTTGGGTCTTTTCGGGCTCGACAGTGTATGTGGGAGGCTGCAGCCGTGAACAACTCGAACACCCAGCTGAACACGGATCCCAACGCCACGGGCGAGGCGGACGCAAAAGCACAGATGGAAGTTTGGGATTTCTTGCTGAGACCTTTTACACATGCCTACTCGTCGCAAACGTACAGAAGTTTGAATAACATCCTCTTACAGTCCCCATTTAGGTGGTAGACTATATTATACCGCAAGAGCTTTCTCGAGTTATTCAGGCCATCCTATAGGGTTTCACGTCCCCGCTTTCTATCTGGTGTTATGCTGCCCTGAAAAGCAGGTGTAGCCACCCTTCCGAAGCCTTCTAGGAAGCATTCTAAGACTAAATCGTCGGGGGGCTCGATCTGGATTCAAGGACGACCATATAGTCGTATAGCTACCCTTCTTATTCGTAGCGTCTCGAAAGAGATTGCTCTCTACGCAGAACTTCATCCTTGACCTTCTTGCCATGCAGCCCGGGGGTTCGGCCCCAGTCGCCCCCAACCCAGCAAAGGTCGCAACACTGGCACCCTAAAGGCCCACGGACATTCCAGTGATCCTTGCTGAACTCGGTCCTAACCCCTCCGCGAATTCCTAGCGCCACCCATGGTAATCGCACATCCCGTACTATAGGGGCCTCAATAATTACCTATACTGTTCTGGGGGGGCTCTTATTATAATTTTAGCACAATGAGCCCCAAAATCCTATTCTAATTATTAAGGAGGCCCCTATATTATTGTACCCTTATGGATCCCTTATAGTGGCCCTTAATAGAGCCCTTTAAAGGAACCCTACTCTAATTATTAAGGCCCCTATAGTAGCGCCGCCTCCCTGAAAGGCTCCTGAGAGCGCTTTCGAGTTCCAGCCTACGAAGGCAGCAGGGAAGAAAGTGGGGCCGGAGGAGCTTCCCAGAGACTCCAATATCCCTTAATTAAGGAATATACCTTAAATTATAGCAGGATCCTTAATATGATTTAAGGATTATTCCCTAATTAAGGGATATTGGAGTCTCTGGGTTCGGAGCTTTGGGATGTAATGTACTTGGAGGGTCGGGGGACTTAGTAACTGGTTATTTTCGGGAGATATAAGTACCTTAACCCCAATTAGGGTCCCTTTCAGGGTACTTATAAGTCTACTTACTACCTACTTACTAAGTCCCCCGACCCTCCCAGTAGCCCTAGAACCCCCAAATAGCAAGATTCATATAAGGAAACCTTCTGAAGACCCAGGGCTTCTTAAACGGACACCTTAAGGTGGCTACATTAGGTTTTCAGGGAGCCTCGGGCTTCTCAAATCTAGGGTATCTAGTGGAGGGACTTAAGTAACTACCTATACATTTTTTGGGGGGGCGTGGGGGGGTTCCTGATTATAGTATTGTGGGCCCCCAAAAGCTTATTAATTCTTAAGGCACCCATATAAGCATACTTAGGTTAAGGTCGGGTATCTAGCATTTAGGGCCGCAACCAAGCGGGTCTCGGGCTTCAAAGTCGAGGGTGGATTGTTCGTGTTCGGGGCACAGAGTCTAAATTGCAGGGGCCCGGAACCCTAAACCCTGCCCACTAAACCCTACAGTTTAGGGTCTAGGGGCGAGGGAGAGGTCTTAAAGCTCTTTCCGGAGCACGAACCCTTGAACTAGAATTCACCATGCAGAACACTTCTCATATCTCTGGGAAGCACAGCCGCTCGAGTCGGCCCACGCATCTTGTGCGGCTAGACCATGCTTGGAGGTTCATGGGTAGTTATAAGAGGGGTTAGAAGTCCCCTAATGTGGGTTATAAGTATAGTTACCCTACTCATAACCCTACTTCTAACTACCCATGAACCTCCAAGCAGACCATCCCGCGGAAAACCGCTCCTCACGTCACACACCCCGAGGCTCAACTCATAGCAGGCCAAAAGGGGTTTTAGCCTATGGGAGTTTAGTAGGGATTGGGGTTCCCATAATAGGGTTCATATTAAGGACTCCCTACACCAAGAACCTTAAACCCCCCTTTTGGCCTCCCACCATCAACAAGTTTCCTGGGTCCATATTCTTCTGAGGCGTCCTCCGATTTATTTTCGTGGGGCTTCGAGGCCTAGTAGCCATATCCCTAGAAACTAAACCCTCAACACCAACCCTGCAAACCTAAAGCCTAAACCCTACCTAAACCCTAAACCCTCAACACTCACCCTAAAAACCCAAAGCCTAAACCCGCTGTGAAACGCTCAGGCAAACCCCCCCGAAACAGAGGGCATCACTCAAACTGGGCTCGGTTTCGACCATGGGGCTTCACGGTCAAGTTTTAGGATCTGCCAGCACCCCCCAAGGACCCCTTAAAGGGGCTCTAATCTTTCTCATGAAGAGGTAATTACATACCAGGGCGGGGCAGGGTGGCCTGCTTGGTTTGTACGCCGGGATTTGAAGCTACAATATCTAATATATGTTGGGGTTCGAAACAGTACTTTAGGGACAGGGGTTGTGCTTTAGGTTGATTATCCGTGTCTGGGGGGAAAATCGTTCTCAATATTTGTGCCTTGGAAATGCTGCTTAATACTTAATATATCGCAGTGACTGATTGAAACCTGTAAGTAGTGACTGAAACCTGAAAGAAGTACACGTGCTTGACTTGATTTGCACCCTTAAATTGCCCTGGTCACTGGTCGCCCATGTTATCTCATCGTCGAGATGGACACCACGGTGGCCACGACCCCAGATCACCTTGACCTTCAGCTGCAGTCGCAGGCGGCCTCGATTCTGATGTGAGGCCTGCATCGTTCAGACGGCCGTGACTGTGATTGCCAGGGCCTCATGCGCAGATCTTGTAACATTGTAAAGACTGATGTATAGCATGGACTTCCTGCTCATCCAGGTTGCTTGGTGTGACGATGTCTGAGCTGCCACTTCGGGCGGCCAGTACGGGCCTTGCCTGGTGCCTGATTGATTTGTGCTTCATAATTAGTTGAATTCTCGTCAGGTGCAGTTTGCTTGAATAATCATCCAAGCAGGCTGCACATGACTGAGGGTATGTCGATCTTGATAGAGTCATTGTTTCACAATCTCGTCAGGCGCAGCCTGCTTCGATGAATCATCGAAGCAGGCTGCGCCTGAATGTGGATGTGTGAGCTGCCTCTTCAAAGGTTCCTCAGAAGTGTCTTCGTGAATGAAAAGTGTCTTCGACTTGCCGTTGAGGAGGCCCACTGCTGTGCTGGTGTAGAATGTTAGAGGGGCGTTGATTCATGCTTAGTGTGACGATGTCTGAGCTGTCACTTCGGGTGGACCCCACTACAGGCCAGTGCCTGATTGATGTGTGCTTCGTAAATCAGTGTCAACTTTGAGCAGGCATGGAGGGTGCGTATTGGGATCCAATAGGCACCCTCCATGCGTGCTCAAAGGCGCAGTTTGCTTGAATGAATCATCCAAGCAGGCTGCACATCTGGTCGTGCCTGATTGTCGTTGAAAAGAAGCAGTCAGTCTGCTTGAATGATTTGTTGCGGGTAGCAGTCTGCACGTGTGCCTCAGAACCGTCTTGGTGAATGAAAAAGTGTCCTCTCGATCTCGACTGCAAGCTTGGCTTCCCTTTGTGCTGACTGTCCCCCAGTAAATCCCTCTATACGAAAGCTGTGTTAAAGCCACCATGCACGCTTCAGTCTGAATTAGGGATTACCATAAAGGGTAGTTGGGGGGTCTAGGTGGGGTTTAGGGTTTAGGGTTTAGGCTGAGGGTTTCAGGTTGATTGAGGGTCTAGAGTCTAGGGTTTGGTGTGGGGGGTTTAAGCTTGGTGGTGTAGGACTTGTTGCCCGGGATCTCTTCAGCCCTAAGCCCGGAGCAGTGGTGGCAGCCTCAACATAATCGTCAAAGCAACATAGCCCCTTAGAGAAACAGCAGAAACGCTGGTTAAGCTATCATCACGTGATCATCTTGAACCCCGATGTTGTCAGACAAGGTTTTGCGGCACATCTCAGGGTTGATCCCAGGCGCCAAAGATGAGTTTCAGTCTCGCAACGGCAAATGGGTTCGCATACACGAACTCATCCAGAACTTGCTCACGACAGCAAGGGCCGCTTCAACCTGAGCGGTTCCCCAAGCGACCCGCGCAGAGACAGTCTAAGTGCCTAAGCACTGCTCTCAATTGAACACCAAGATGAAAGCAATGATGCGGCCTCCATGCAGAGATGACGCGTGCCGGACTGCGACCGAGTACGTCGAAGCTCCGATCTGGCCAACGTGGATTTGCGCATCTGACAGCCACAATGAGAAAGTGGCATGGCAGATCGCGGATGCAGACCTTGCTACTCACTGGTACTCCAGCATAGGTACAAAAGAACAAGAGCAGCCTTCCAGCCACCTAAGCCTTAAACCATGAAGTACCACAGTTGTAGTTCAGACCTTGAAAATCCCTAGCCCCCGGCAAGATCCCTCCTAGATTGACAACCAGAGCCCGAAAATTGAGGGCTCATTGCCCTTTCACAAAAACCTGCCGCTGCACATCAAACGCCCTAAGCCCCACTTGGAGGGTCGGGGACTTAGTAGGTAGTTATTTTATAGAGTCATAAGTATCATAACCCCAATTAGGATCCCTTTTAGGGTACTTATAACTCTACTTACTACCTACTTACTAAGTCCCCCGACCCTCCAAGTAATGCCCTTAACCCTACGGCTAAACCGCGTGGCAAGATCAAAACCATGGTCGGCGGCCTGCAGTTGGATGCCAACCAGCGAGGGGCTCGGTGGTTTGAGTCTACTTCATGACGTGATGCTTTAGGGTTTCGGGTTTCAGACTGTTTAATAAGACGGTTTAGGCGCTGGAGGTTTAGACCCTGACATTTTGGGGAATGTTTGTATCCTAAGCCCTAAACTTTATGCATTAAACCCTAAAATCCTAAACCCTGAACCCTGAACATGTACGGTTGACGGTTCTGGAGTTTAGGTTGAGTCTCGGATTCGGGTTTTGGGTCTCTCATTTGGATTCTTCGTACAGGCTCTTTGGCGGGGCTGAGATGAACGGCTTCGGCGGACCCCCCCCCCCCAAGGGCCCTTTAATGGAGCCCTTGTGGCCCGTCATAGTGGGCATTTGGGGTATAGTACAGGGTAGCAAGCAAAGCTTAAAGCACAAAGCCCGTACTAGAAGGCATACTGTAATGTGCTTCCAGAGTTGCTATAGTTGCTACAAGAGTTTAGTGTTTGGTAGGGTTCGGGGTTTAGGGCTTCATGGTTTCAGGTCTGCGGTTTTAGGGTTTACAGTGCCAGGTTTGAGTTTAGGCTTTCGGGGATACGCTTTCACAGACCGGCTTATCCATCGCTATTGCCAAACCCGGGAGGGTTTGGTCCTAGGCTGTAACGGCTGGCAGCCTTGCCGAGGAAGTACACCGGAGGGAAGTACTTGTCGGGCTTCTTCGCGCTGAACAAGGCGCCGTCCTGTTGAAACTACCGCTCCTGCCCTAAGCCCATGAGGTTTCCCCAAGGCATCAAGTCCTAAGTCCTTGGTTCGGAAACTCTACGGCGCTACGGCCGGTCATATTAAAGCATATCATCAACCCCAAAAGACAGTATATCCGGCCTCTAAACCCCGAAACCGAAAACCGATACCCCGATACTCTAGAATTTCAATTCGCTGACGCACCGAAGCCCTGATACCGTTATGGCAACCTGCAAAGGGTTGTGAAGTCCTCATAAGCTTTTCACCACCCTACTGTAGTAGGGGCCTGAATAACTACCCTATACTATTTGGGGTTCCTTCTTATAAGCATATAGTGTAATTGACCCCAAAACCCTGCTCTAATTATTAAGGCCCCTACATTAATCGAATCCCCTAATCCTAAAGGCCTCGATCCTGAAATCCTCGTCCCTCAAGGAAGGAATCCTAACGCCCGCTGAAGAAATCACCTTAAACTCCAGAGCCCCATAAACAAGCCACGCAAGCCCGTGAAACTGCCACTTATTATCAGTCCTCTAAAGTTCCTCTAATAAACCCCGAAAGCCCTTTCAACCAAAGCTCGAGAGTCCGAACAAAAACAACCAACAAAAAGGGGTGGGAATACTTAGTGCCACTATTCATTGGGATTTCTTCCTAGAACATACCCGAAAAAGGCCCCCTCCCTTTGCGAGCCTGCCTTCAGAGAAACCTTACAAGAGCCGCTGAAGGATCCTTCTTCTAATGACCCTAAACCCTAAACCTACTGAGCCCGAAACCCTGAACCCTAAACCCTGAACCCACTGAACCCTAAACCCTAGCCCTAAACCCTAATCCCTGAACCTTGAACCCTCAACCCAAAGCCCTAAACCTAGCACCCGTTTAAATGCCCTTCTAGTATACCAGGCCGAGCTCTTTTGCCCCACGGCAGGCCGGGCATATTTCTCCGGTGACGTTTAGGGGCCGAAAGGGTTTAGGGTTGAGGGTTTAGGGTCTTCAGGGGTTGAGGCCTTCGAGGTGTGGGATCGAGGGTTTAGGGCTTAGTGTTTAGTCAGTGGCTGTAGGGGCTCTAAAATGCTTGAATGGGGGTTATCTTTGGTCTGGTGCAGGAGCCTCCGTTGAGTTTTTTGGTAGTAAGCCCTCTATATACCCATTCGTAAAAACACTGCTAATTTCTGGAGCTTTGAGACGGGTTTCGTTGGTGGCAGTCAAAGCATGAGCGGCCCTCAGTGAAACAAGACCTGCCGCCTTCAGAAACAAAACGCAAGCCAGAGGCACTACACCTTGAACAGCTAGCCGAGCCCCATGCCTTCATGTCAGTGTGGCTCACAATTACCGCACAAGTCCATTTTTGTGGAATGCTTCGTGGCTTTGGGTGTCTGCTTTCCGGTTTGTTATCTTACGGCTAAACGGTCATGGATTCCGAATTCGGCTTATGATTCATGTGCGTGCGTGTTGAAATTTCCCATTTCCAGAGCCGCGATCTTGGACTTGTGTATGATAACTGCCCCACGCTGACCAGGCTAGGGACTTAGCAGAATCGCAGGTGTCAATGACCCCGTTGCGGACGAGTGGGAGAGGCGCGGATGTCGCAAGAAGTGATCTGAGATCGGTTGGAGTCAGTTTCTCGGTTACTACCAGCCTAAAGGTTCTAGCAGAGTTACTACGGTTCTAGAAACTGCAGTGTACCACATAGAGGAGGCAGAATCGCATCAACTGTTGCCTCATCATCTTCTATGTGTTCTTTTTAAAGGCAGAGGACTACAGGAAGATCATGCCCAATGAGCTTGAGTTTCAGGGTTCAGGGTTTTGGTGTTTGGGTTTAGGAGTTTGGAGTGTAGCGATAGGGGTTAGTGGGTCCGCTGCTTGATATACCAGGCTTCGCGAACTGTGCTTTAGGAGCTTCATAGTGCAATGCTCTGAGAAGGGTCGTGCAGCTTTGCAGGAAGCTGGGCAGAGTTCGCGTAGATTGTGCATCCCGTGTTTGCTCTGCTCTTTCCATCGCCACCAAAACCCCACACCCTAAACCCTAAGACCTGAAAACCTAAGCCCTAAACTCTCAACCAACAAAGGGGTTGTTCAATCCAGATCTCGATCCTGGACTTCTGATGTGGACCTTTTCATCCCGTGACCGAAAGACCCCTGCAGTCAGCCCGAACACCCTAAAGGGGGGGGGCTACATAAGTAGAAGATGTTTTCTTGGGCAGGTCATGTTGCTATGTGCAACTTGGATAAGGAACTGTCGAGGAATCATAAAGGAATGTTGCTACTAAGTATTCCTACTATTGTAGAGGTTGCAGAGGGTCTTGGTATTCGGTGATATTCTGCAGACGAAAGGCTTTCTCGATTTGGGTGGTTGTCAAAATTATGGTCCCTTTTTGGGTACCCTAAATATTAGGTGCCGTACTATACTAAGGACCCAAAAAGGGACCCTAATTTTGACAACCACCCATTTGAAGGGTTTGGGGTTTAGGTTGGGGTTTAGGGTTTAGCTCAGGGTTTAGGGTTTGTACATCCCTTCGCGGCTTGGGTCTTGGTAGCAGGATGCAGGCTTCTGGGATTATGCTTTCGGGTTTAGGTTGTGCTGCAGCGCCTCACACCCTGAGCCCTAACCCCCCAACACCCCTTGTTGAGAGGGTTCTCTTTATTGGCAACTGGGTATAGGGCGACAGGGTTTGATGTGCTAACTTTCAAGGGGTTGTGAGCTCCCTCCCTGAACCCTAAAGAAAAGGGAACAGCCAGGCGTGCCTTGTGCTTCATGGGCGTGAACGCAGACACCCGGGCCGAGCCGAAATTGGATTGCCCCGAGGATGAGCCTTGGGTTTAGTTAAGAGCATGCTTCCGAGTCCTCCGAATCGAACGAAATTCTCCTCTTGTGCGTTGCTTGTGTGCGGCGTGACATACGTGGCAGTGGAATGGTTTCCATGTTGGACGATTTGTCCTGCTGCTGCTGCTGCTGTTGCTGCTCCAAGTTCAGGCATGCAGAGCCCTGTGCCCAACTCCTAAACTGACCAGCTGATTACACAAAGCCAAATAGATCCAAAAGCCTTCCAAAGACCAACATGAAAGCCTAAGCCCATCAGACCTGAAACGGCCACAAGCATCCCATATGAGAGTTTCCGAAAATTAGGGGTACCTTATATGGGGATTCCTTATAATAAGGATCCTACTATTTAGGGTACTATATTACGTTCGAGTATTTGCAGCCACAAGGGCATTAGCTGAATGTGCTTTTGCCCTTAGTCTCGCTGCCGGTGCTGTGCGTGTGTGCGTGTTTGGTCGACCACCCCTCCCCCCAATGCCCCGCCTCTCTGAGCCAGTGTCCCCAGCTTAGTACTTCGGTGAGAGATCATCGAGGGAAGAGCTTTGTTCCTGTGATGTGGGCTGTCTTGCCAAGTGTCCAATTCCAACCCAAGCCGCCCGGCTTGGGGGGGCGGGCCCATGGAGGTTCGGGTGGCACATCCCTCCCCTAATCCCCGGCTCGGATCGAGGGGCCCGGAGCGTTGAACTCTGCACCGGAGCCCTGATGACGTATGCGGAGGGGCAAAGAAGGCGAGAGGGACCGTTTCCGTAGGCCGGAGAGCACCCCAGGTCGACACTCACTCACTCACTCACTCACTCACTCACTCACTCACTACTATATTACGTTCCCTCGTTTCGGAAACCCCAAAATAAGCCAAGGACTTGCTGAAAGCCCCCATCTGAAGCCAAGGACTTACTGAAGTTCAGTGGCTTGTTCCAGCGCTCCTTGGGTGACGAGTCTCTTGCCTTTGACAGAAACAAGCACCGAGAGTCAGGGGTTTACACTTTCTACTGTACCATGTAGGGTTTCTGGTATGCTTGTCTTGGGAGAAGACAAGGTGGTTCATATGAAAATGAACTTGAGGCTGTTGTTGTAGTTCAGGGCTCTCCAGGCAAGGTGGTATGGGCTTTGGAGAGAGTAAACGGGGCCAGCGCCATTGCCACGAGTTTCAACCTAGATCGCCTTCCTTTGCGAACCCCATTAGAAGTCTTGTAAGTTCAGGGTTTACCCTAAGGCGCTAAGGGTCCGTGTACTCATATAGTACATACATTGGCCTTATAATGTAGTCCCTATATAGGTAGTTTGGGGCTCATGTATCTCTATATGGGTACATGGACCCTTGGGGTTAAGGTCTCGGGTGTAATAAGTACAGTACGGAAGTCCGAAACTCAACCGCTCTCGACCCACACGGGCTCTGTCACGATCTGGCGCTGAGTGGCACCTGACGCAAGAACCTAAATGCCAAACCCTAAACTTTAAACCCTAAACCTTAAATAAACACGTAAATTCGCGGCCAGTGTAGCTCTCACAAACCTGTGATGTACGAGAGTTTCATACACTCCGGGACAATACAGACTCCAAGCCAGAGATCCTCATTACAAGGACCTAGATTAGGTTTCTTTAGTGCTCTTCTCAACAAGTACTGTGGTATCGACTAAGCCCTCGGCTCCAAAAACCCTAAACCCTAGACCCCAAACCCCAAAACCCTAAACCCTAAAACCCTAAACCCTAAACCCGAAACCGCGAAACCCCTACAGCGCCCTCGAAGCCGAAATCCTTAGTCCCAGCATCCCAAAGCCCTAGGAGCTACAACCGTAAACCCCAAAACCCCCTAAACCCGCCTAAACCCCGAAACCCCCTAAAACCCCCTAAACCCCCAAAGCCCCCCCAAAACCCCCCTAAACCCAAGCCAAACCCGCCCCTCACCCCTAAACTTAAACCCTAAGGGGCTCCCCAAAACCTTGGAAAGGTTCGGCAACGCCATCCGCGGAGACATTTCGAAGCTCACTGCTTCGTCCCTGGGACTCGGAGGTAGTAGGGCTTTTGTTCGTTGTTGGGATGTTGCGGAGTGTGCGATACCCCTAAATTCCCAAAGGGTGCCTTCAAGGGTTCCGTAAAGGTTCTTAAGGCCCCTAATGTAGGAACCTGATTCAGAAACTGTGGGCCTTTCTTAGGCTACCTTATATGAATCCTACTCTATTGGGGCTATAGGGCCAGGGTTTCTTCATCAGGTTCCTACACCATACGGTTGATGATATAACTCCTGCATGACCTTGAGGACCCTAGACTATGGGAATGATGGTGCATTCCTTATAATGGGTCATGCAGGATTTGTATGGGAGTTTCCGAAAATAGGGGACCCTAATATAATACCCTACATAGTAGGATCCTTATTATAGGGACCCCCCAAAATAAGGTACCCCTAATTTTCGGAAACTCCCATATCATCAACCGTACTTGGAGGGTCGAGGGACTTAGTAAGTAGGTAGTAAGTAGACTTATAAGTACCCTAAAAGGGACCCTAATTGGGGTTATGGTACTTATAAGTCCCTAAAATAACCAGTTACTAAGCCCCCTAAACCCTAAACCCTAAACCCTTACAGAATCCCTATAGATCCCTTTAAAGGAACCCTAAAGGAACCCCTTATAGTTACTAAGTCCCCTAAGGACCCTCCAAGTAGTAGACTTCAGGCCCTGTGGGCTGAAAGGGTTGGAATGGCTCAGAGCTATCGGGCTGGAGGGTAATGATTACTTGGAGGGTCGGGGGACTTAGTAACTGGTTATTTTCGGGACTTATAAGTACCATAACCCCAATTAGGGTCCCTTTTAGGGTACTTATAAGTCTACTCACTACCTACTTACTAAGTCCCCCGACCCTCCAAGTAAGGCCTCCTTAAGGTAACAGCCAGAAAGTTGGAATATGACTATCCTAACCCTTCTATGGTAATTATAGGGTATCCTACCATGAAACCATATTCCAACTTTCTGGAGTTCCCTTTAATACAGTAGTATCCTTATAGTAATCCCAAATTAGGGCCCTTTTTAAGCATCCCTTTGAAGGAACCCTGAGTATTAAGGTGGTTGAGACTTGCAGCGCTCCAGCAGTAGAGCTCGAAGTCCAGTAAAGGTGCGCAGGAACGTCGGATGCTGCGCACAACGCCGGATTGTGTGTGATAGTAAGTTCCGCTTGAACCAGGACAGCGCCAGGGCCCTGTAATAGAGCCCTTGCGGCCCGGGATAGTGGGTGTTTGCGACATATTACCGGTTGTTGGCGGCGTCTGGGAAGAGCACACTCATACTATAGAGACGTTTTTAACAATTACCTATACTATTTTGGGGGTTCCTTCTTCTAGTTATAGTATAATTCGCCCCGAAGCCCTATTCTAATTATTCCGGCCCCTCCAGAAGCCCCAAATGCGGCTGCAGGTATGGCGTGATCATTGCCTTGGCCCCAGCTGCGTGTTGGCGTCCAGCCGAGTTCCAGAACCCTCTCCCCGAAAATACTCCCTAACCCCTACTTGGAGGGTCGGGGGACTTAGTAACTGGTTATTTTAGGGACTTATAAGTACCATAACCCCAATTAGGGTCCCTTTTAGGGTGCTTATAAGTCTACTTACTACCTACGTACTAAGTCCCCCGACCCTCCAAGTACCTTAACCTTGAATAACCTACCGTTCTAGGGTTCCTCATTATGATTTCCTTTTGTAAGTCCTTAAAAAGCTAGGTTATTCAGGGTTATAAGATAAACCACACAATCCCTAAACTCGGAACCCCAGACTCCTCCAACGCGACACCCGGAATCCCTGAACCCTAAACCCCAAACCCTATAATTCCTATAACCCCCTAAACCGAAAAGTTAAAGTCCCTGAGCCCATCCATATTTCCACACCGAGCCGCTGCCAGGTTATCGGGATTTGTCAGGGCTGTTACTTTTCCTACTGCTGCTGTAGATTTTAGGTTCCGGGTTATGGTTTCGGGGTTTAGGGTTCGGGTTCAGGGTTTAGCTTTAGGGCTTTCGGGTCAAACTTGTGCACTCGTGGAAACTTGTCCATGCGCCACTTGGTCGCTTTTGAGCTTGGTCTCAACCCTGAAACCTTGTCCGGAACCCTAAACCCTTAACCCTAAACCCTAAGAAATCATGCTTTCGCTGAATCAGTCGAAAGAGGAGCCCTTAAACAACAAATCATGTTAAACATCTGCCTTTTCCTACGACTGCTGCAGGTCTACTGCGCAATCATGATCGGAAAGTGCGATGCCATCCACTCCGGCATGTTCCTGTCCTTTGTGGCCGTGCTCATCGTTGGCCTGACCATTGGCACCTAGTGCTGGAGTTGGCCCCGGAACCCTAAACTTTAAAACCTTCAGGGTTTAGGGTTTAGGGCTTAGAAACCCTAAACCCTGAACCCTTAACTTAGTAGCTGAGTGGATACACTTTAGACTTTTTGGGATAGTATTACGCACTCTAAAACTGAGAGTGTATACTTTTTGGGGCTTATGAACTCAACCCCAATTCCTGAATTCGGGTTTCGGTTAGGGCGTTCGGGTTCGTAGGACTTCCCGACCGAATCGTTTAGATTTCAGGGCCGTTTAGGGGCTCAGGGGTTTAAAGGGGCTTAGGGTTGAGGAGCTTAGGGTTTAGGGGCTTAGGGTTTAGGAGTTCATGGGAAACAGTAAGGTAGCGTTTGGGGTTTAGGGGTTCAGGGGTTTAGGGGTTTAGGGGTTTAGGGTTTTAGGGGTTTAGGGGTTTAGGGGTTTAGGGTTTAGGGTTTAGGGGTTTAGGGGTTTAGGGTTTAGGAGTTCAATATCGCACCTGGCGCCGCGCGAGGAAGTACCCTTGGCCTCATGGGCTACTTCGGTGTGCCCAACGGCAACCTCAACAACAACCTCTACTTCCTGCTTCTGGGTGGCCTGGCCGTCCATGGAATCTGCCAATGTTTCAGGGCTTTGGGTGTCGAATCCTATCCTTTGTTATGGAATCCTACTCTCAGCTCGCAAAAAAAATCTTTTCTGGGATGCTAGACTCTGGATAAATCCCCTCCGTACAACTAGGCTAACTATTGATTAGGCCCATTGCTTCAGAAATCTTAAAGTCAGGTGCCATACTATGTAAAGATACCCAATATGACTTTGAAAACCTCAACAAAGTTGCTGAATTACTGGACCCTGTAAAGGCCACAACGAATCCTATGTGTGGCACTTTGGTCGTTTAGTACCTAATTCCATAGTGGTAGAGCACTATTATAAGGGCCTAAAAATTATCGGAATTATTTTGCGGGGTTCCTTATTATATGTTTAGTACAATCGGCCCCCAAATCCTATTCTAGTTATTATAAGCCCCTATATTATAGTACCCTTATAGATCCCTCACAGTAGCCCTTAATACACCCGTTTAAAGGAACCCTACTCTAATTATTAAGGCCCCTACAGTATGTGGGCTCTCTGGGTTTTTTGTCCGGCAGAGAGGTTTGGGAGTTGACGATGCCTTCGTGCTGAGCTCGGAGTTCCAGCGCCATGCCCGCGAGGACTCAGTTTAGGGGTTTAGGGGTTCAGGGGTTTAGGGTTTAGGGTTTTAGGGTTTAGGGTTTAGGGGTTTAGGGTTTAGGGGTTTAGGGTTTAGGGGTTTAGGGGTTTAGGGTTTAGGAGTGTAGGGGTTCAGGGGTTTAGGGTTTAGGGTTTAGGGTTTTAGGGTTTAGGGGTTTAGGGTTTAGGGTTTAGGGGTTTAGGGTTCAGGGGTTTAGGGGTTTATGGGTTTAGGGTTTAGGGGTTTAGGGTTTTAGGGGTTTAGGGTTTAGTAGGGTTCAGGGGTTTAGGGTTTAGGGGTTTAGGGTTTAGGGTTAGGGGTTTAGGGTTTAGGGGTTCAGGGTTTAGAGGTTTAGGGGGTTTAGGGTTTAGGGGGTTTAGGGTTTAGGGGTTCGGCTCTGAAGGGATTTTGCTTTTTTGTTTTACGGCTTTCGGAGTTGAGGGTTTTCGGGTTTAGGGGGTTCGGGGTTTTTGGGGTTACGGTTCTCGGGTTTTGGGTTCTTGAGTTTATAGGACATGATGTTCGAAAAGGTTAGAGCGTTTGCGCGCCCTAAACGCTAAGCACTTAACCCTTATGGTATCCTTAGACGCTTAAAGGAACCCTTAAAGGAACCCCAAAACCTCGCAGGACAAGAGCAAAAGTATCCCGGAGCGCATTGCTGCCACCGCGCGGACGGGAGGCATCTCTGTCCTCATCACGTCGGCCACGGACCGACCGGGTGGGCTCAACGGTGTCGGGTTTAGGGTTTAGGGGCTTGGGGGTTTAGTGTTCAGGGGCCGATGTGGTTCAAACGTATGCCTAGTAGTAGAGTTAGTAACCTTTCCTTTTTTGGGTAGTATACTCCCACCCCTTAAACACCAAAAAGGGTTAACCTTCAGTTCCCCATGATGGCCGACAAGTAGGCATGGAGTTTTGCGAGTTTTCGGGTCGGGGGAGGTCAGGCCTCCGGAGTGATCTTTGCAGCTCTTGTGCTTGGGTTGAAGTTGTGTTTAACTACCCTAAACCCCGTTGTGTGCCCTAAACCCTAAGAGAAGACTTCACCTCGAGGGGCGATCGCACACATTCTCTCAGGTTGAGCAGCTTCCCTCACGGCTTAGGGTTTTTGGGTTTGGGATTTAGGGTTTTGGGCTTACGGTTTAGGGAGCGTACAGTCAGGGGTTTAGTGGTTTGGGGTTTCAAGGTTTAGGGTTTGCCGAGCCTTCAGTCAGAAGCGAAAAACGCAGAAGGATACCTAGCGCGACAGGAGCACCCCTAAAATCGACACGAAGAGTCAACAAGGAGAGGACTGCGCAGGATTTAGGGGGTTAGGGTTCAGGGGTTTGGGTCTAGGGTTTAGGGTTTAGAGGCCAGACCCCTTGAAGGAGCCTTAAAGGAACCCTCACAGGAGCCCTAAACGAGCAGGGTTCTGTACGGGTAATGGCCTCCCCTAGGATGGCGCCAGCTCACACCACGGTTTGCGGGTGGTGGCAAACTACGCGTAATGTTTCATAGAACTCCGTGGAACCGGAAGTCCGCTAAACCAGGCAGGGGCGCCAGGCTCAGGGCAGGGGCCAGCAAGGCCCAGGGCGGGGAGAATCGAGGTATTTTAGGCCCAGCTATCGCTGACCGGCGGCGAGGCGGAGCCCTTGACAGCCCAGATGGGGCGGTATTCGACCACTCTCCATAGACTCCACCCATTATTTGGTCCAGTGCGGGTGGAAAGGTTGCCGGGGCATCTTCAGTGTTCTGGCACCCAGTTATGGGTGGGAACGGTCCAGGAGGTCGGGTGGGAATTGAGGGGAAAGGGCTGAGGGTATAGGGTTAAGGTGTAAAAGGGTATAGGGTTTAGGGCTATCCTTACATGTCCTTTTCCCCATTCTGACCAGCCCGCTTCAGAACGGCAGAACAAGTTTACACGCAACGATAGCTCCCGGAAGTAACAGTGCTGTGCTCAGTCTTCAACACAGGCCCTTGTACTCTTTGGTCTTGGGGCCAACCTAAATCAGACTTGTAGCGCTTAGGCTTTTGGGTGTTGGGCTACTGTTTAGGACGCTCTGGCGTTCTTGGTCGGTGCGACGACGGTGCTACTTAGCTCCACGAGAGTTGCGGGTACAGGATGTTCAAGTATAGTTGGTGCGGAAGGATGTGTGCTTCGGGTGGGCTTCCTGGGCCACAAACCCCAAACCGTCTAAGCTCTACAGCATGCACCTTAAACGCTAAACTTTCGGCTAGTTACTCGTGCGGACGCAAAAAACGCCCTAAAAAACAAACTTTGACCATTCCATCTTCGACTCTTGATGTGCTGGGAAAGTTTTCATTTTCGGCATGAAATCTTCGTCTTGGTTGTCAGGATGAGAAAGTCTGGAGCGGGTCAACTTCTGTTTAGAAGAAGACAGTCTTTGCATAGTCACAACAGCAGCAACAACACAATAATGATGACCACAGAGAAGAACGGATCAGCCCTAAGCGAGAACCGCTCCCGGGAGACGTGAGGGAAGGGGCGACCAATGTAGATTCTGATAGCTTGCAGGCCGGGATTGTAGGTTAGGTTTCTTTGTTCGATATTTTGAAGGGTCTGATTCCGTTTGGAACAACCCGCAAGTGCAAGGCCCTCAAAGCCTGCGTCTCCAATGCAGAAACCGAAGCCCTAGTATTAGTAGTATCAGCACCAACACGGAGCCGTGAACTCAAACTTATGCCCTAAACATCGTGCTAACTCCTGAACATTTATGCCCACGTGACGAGGCTGCCAGCACTTGGCTGGTTCTGTACCTATGCCGGTGCCCCTTGTCACGGTTTTCATGCGCAGAAATCCTGGATGGCAGTGCCAGAACTGTTTGACAAAAGCGTTATTTTTGTTTTTTGTGGCTTGCTTATGTCACAAGGTCTTCCATCACCATGGTATCAAACCCGAAACCTTAAACTGGCCCTAAGCCCTAAACCTCAAACCTCATGCAACGTAAGAATCAGAGTTCCCGTGCACAAGTCCCTCCCGGAGCCGAGGTGTCCATCGTCTTGTGCTACACCTTCCAGCTCACTGTGTGCCTCTTTGGGTGGGAAGTTAGTTATCGTCTCTGATGTTGTTCCTGTCTTGCCCGCAATCTTACAGGACAAGCAGCGGAACCAAAAAGGAACTAAACTGGAGACTAAGGTTAGTTAGCTGAGCAGACTGACTCAAATGACTCGACAAACCTCCCGCGTTTGCTCTCCTACCAACAACTTCTTATGTTAACGACCTGAGCCTAAACTTCTCACAGCCCTTGTGGAAGCCTTCTAGTATCATAGTACTTATAGTAGCCCGTATGGAAGCCTTGTAAATCCTAACTGGGCCCCTGACGTGAGGTTCCTGCCCTGCCTTGCCCTGAACGCTCGCCGTGTCGAGTCCAACCGCATCGACTGCTGCTGCTCCTGGATTCCTGTTTGGGAAGTTTGGGTTTAGGGATTAGGGTTTGTTTGTTTCAGTGTCTCCTGGATTCCTCCTTGGGAGCTTTGTTCTTTGTCTACCAACGTACTTAGGGGGCAGCATTTGATACAGCATGTATCGTTTTTACTCAACTTCCGAGAGCCATAAGGAAGGTATACTACCGGCGATAGTCAGATGGATAGATCGATAGATAGATAGATTCAGATAGATGGATAGATCAAAAAATGGATAGGTAGATAGATCTGTAGACGGCGAGATCGATAGGCAGTTAGATAGCTAGATAGTTAGATGGTGATACATGTGTACATATTGTATGTATGCACAACATACACATACATGTACATGTATATACACACATACATGCATCTCTCTCTGGCTAGACATGCATATCATTTCTTTGGTACTTGACACGAAACCCCTTGAGAGATCCCAGGTTGCTGCTCAGTGGCAGAGCGCTCAATTGAGGACCGGGGACTCGCATATCATGTATACAGTATACATGTATGTATGTGACTATGTATATAATTGAATCTATCTATCTATTTTTCTTTCTGTCCACCTATCTAACTACGTATCTGCCTACCTACCTACCTACCTACCCATCTATCTATCTATCTATCGACCTATCGACCTATCGACCTATCGCCCTTTCAATCTGTCTTCTATCGGCCTATCCGTCTGTCTGAGTATACATAATATGTGTATATATATATATATATATATGTATATACACATGTACATAAATATTAGCTCTGTGTGTATGCATGTATGTATGTATGTATGCATGCATGCATGCATGTATGTATGTATGTATGCATGTATGTGCGTGTGTATGTATGTATGTATGTATGTATGTATGTATGTATGTATGTGTAGACATATATATATATATATATACATACATACATAGATGGGGTGGCCATATGTATGTATGTATGTATGTATGTATGTATGTATGTATGTGTTCATGTACGCAGGTATGTACGCAGGTATGTATGTATGCATGTATGTATTATGTAGGTGGGTATGTATGTACGCAGGTATGTACGCAGGTATGTGTGTATGTATGTATTCTATACAGATGCATACACACAAACATACAAGCACACATGCACACACGCATGAGCACGATATGTACATATGCACACATACATATTATGTTCCTCCTCGGTAGAGCCACATAGTATTTCTTGTGCTGGAGGAGCGGATGAAGCGTGTGGGTTGCTTCCTTCGTCGAGAAAGAAGACGTACCCCAAGGGCCCCACACCCTACGCCCTAGTCGCAGGATCCACAGGGGTGCTGCCTCGGCTGCTGCCTCCCAAAAGCGGACGCTTGAGCTTGAACTACTTTGGTTGTTCTTTAATTACTGTTCTACATCCTGAAGCCAAGAGTCCCCCGAGTCCCTGAACACGGACCCTTCCCTACATGAGATCCGTTTAAATCCGCAAGCCCGAAGCAAAGATGGCTCAAGAATGCTGGAACAAGGCCAAGGATGATTTCAGAGCCAATCCAGAATTTGTTGCCGCACATCACAAGCTCCCCAAGGAAATGTCGAAAGTCCTAGCAACCAAAACGTGGGACACCATTTCTGAACAACAATTGGTTGTTTCTGCAGCATCATGGTCCTTCCTGCGCTACTATTCGCAGAACAACTTGAGCACGCAGAACGTGAAATTGAAGGCCTGGGGTGAATCAGCAAAGTAGCGGTCTGTGATTGAATAGCTCTGTTCTAAGAACAACATGTTCCTGAGGACGGCTTGTGGGCTGTGTTTGCCCAGTTTGGGCAAATCATTACTTTGCGCAATGTGGAAGAGACCTACATTGTTCTGGGATCCTTCAAATGGGCAGTGTTGGCATGGCGGTTGTCCGAAGTTCATGAGGGCGGCAGGTGCTCGGGCTGGCAGTTGCAAGTGGAGGCCGGTTGCTCATGGCAGTTCCTTCACAACCCTGAGGAATGGGAAGCATGTGAAGCCACTCCGAAATTGTCAACACAGGCAGGACTCTATTTCAAAGCCACGTGTGGTTGGGAACCACTTGTGCAAAACACTTTGCGCTCCGGGCACAAAAGGACCTTTGCGGAGTTGACATTGATGGCGGACTACTTGAATGTGACACAACCCCACAAGAATTCCAAGAAGGAGTTGTTGAAACAGTGTCAGGAGTGTTTCGGAGAAGAGTTTGCAGAAGCTTGCCGTGAAGCTGCAGAGTCAGACACTCAGAAGGCTCCTGATGCAGATATGCCTGATGGTTTTCTATCAGCATTGTTGGACAACATGGAGCCCTCAGATAAACAGGATTTCCAGGACTTGGAGAAAGCCCTGATGCGACAGGAACAGCAGGCCGAGCAACAACGTTGGCAAAACATGTGGGATGAGAAGGTTGCAGAACAAAAGGCACCCTGGCAAGACCTTCCAGTGAGTTTCTGAGCTAGGCTTAGACTCAATTGTTGTGACTCACTCAATTGTGACTCAATTGTGATTCGATTGCAGGCCAAAAGAGCGAGGAGAGCTGTGGCAAAAGCCAAAGCAAAGTCAAAACCGTGTGCCAAAGCAAAATGCAAAGGCAAGGGCAAAGGAAAAGGCAAAGGCCGTGGAAAAGGCAAAGGGTTTGGAAGAGGCACAGCTTTGGCCTTGCAAGGGCTGGCTCGCAGGCAAGCAGCGTCACGAAAACGCAAGGAGCAGGTGCTCGAACAAATGCCCGGACCAGCAGTGGAAGAAGATCCAGATATCGCTGAACTCAAAGAGGAGTTGGAAAGCCAGCTGTTGGACATGAATGTCATGGACGATCGAACAAATCCTGATTCATTGCCGGCAGAGCCTTGTGTCCATGCTCCCAGTCCAAGAGAGCCCGCCCCCTCACCGGAGCCTTGCGCCCATCCTCCCAGTCCACACACTGGTGAAGGAGAGCCCGCCCCCCCGGCGGAGGAGCCCTGTGTCGATGCTTCCCGTCCACACTCTGTGCTTGGTGGTGCCGGGGTCGCACACGAGGAAACAAAAGTGCAAGCACAGCCATCCAATGGGACCTTGCCGGATCCAATATCCGGGCCAAGGGACAGTGGAATGGCACAGGCCTCGTCCTCGAGCGGATCAGCCCCTGAGCAGGTCCTTGATGATGCTGCACATCGTGGCCAGGCATCGCAACGTGCTCCGCGCGAGCATGGTCCACACTTGAATAACACTCCCGACTTCCTGTCGGAGTTGGATCCACCCGAAGACTTCAAGTTGCGTCTCAGCTTCAACGATCATCGCTTCAAAGCCGAGATCATGACAAAACAGTATGTGTCAAGTGAGGGGAAAAAGTCTTGCAGCAAAAGCTTTGCTAACGACAGATCAGACTGGAAGCAAGCACTGGCTCAAGTGCATCGCTGGGCGTGGACAGAGTGGGAGAAGGCCAAACCTGAAAGGCAACTGCCGCCTCATTGTCAGCCTGGCACTATCCCTGAGGCTGTCCTGGAACGCCTTGCCCCGATTATCGACGCAATGCCTCCGCCCACAAAGTATGCCAAGTAGCCTCTTCAGTTTTTTTTGGTGATAAACACATCACAGGGGAAAACATGTCAGCAGGTTGCAGATTTCTGTCAATGTCATGTATGCAAGTATCGTGTTCTTAGCTTCAAGTCTTCGGTCGATTCAAGAAGTCACAGGGAGTGAGTTCATCCAGCCGAGTCCAATGTGTGTGAATCTGCTCCTGCTGTCATAGCGGCAACATGTTCGATTCACAATTTTGGCTTCAGCTTGTGCGCAGTTGCTGTTCATTCTGTGATTGAGTCTTTACAGTTACGTTGCAATTACAGTTGCTGAATGCCTGAAGTGTGCAATTGAAGATGACATGACATGAATCATGAAGTCTCACCATAGTTATGCTGCAGATTGCTCGGGGAGAAAGCGATCAGCAAAAACAAGCCTTCCTGACATTGTGTCCTGTTAGTTTGTGGAATGTGCTTGATATGCCAGGCAAGCATTGAATCCATTTGTTGCTCAAGTTGGACCAGAGGTATGGTTTAAAGTTATGTGGGACAACAAATCAATGTATTGATGTCAGTGAATCACCAACATGTCCAATTTCCAGTGGCCGTGCCAGCATGTGCTGGGATCATCGCTGGTCTTCAGTGGTAGTGCTGGGCCTGTGAAGCCAGCACGCAAGAAATGCAAAAGGAAAAAGAATGCTGCAGAGTCATTTGAGTTGGGAGGTAGATCAGTGGAGCGCCCGTGTACTCTTCCTGCCTTGAATTTTACCGATACAGTTTTACAGGAACTGATGAAATTGATGATCGGTTTGACACTTGGGTAGAGGACGTCTTCGAGCAAACATCGCGATTGCAATGTTCGCATTTCCTTCCGTTTGCTTCCTTGTCTTTCTCCCCAAGGCCGGAGTCTGTTCAAGGTGTTATGGGTCACAGATTTTGTTATAATATGAATTTTTCATTAATGTAATACTAATAAACTTATCATCATCCTCAATTGATCTTGCTGGCCAGGTCCACAGAGCCTTGGTGTCACAGGCTCATGGTTGCAAGGATTTTGGTGCAAAATTTCTTGCGCTACGACCAGGACTTCAATGTGGGCAGAGTGGCCATGAAATGGCATGGGCTGATTGGATTGGCTTATCCCGCATTGAAGAACCGAACCATCGAGTGTCAGCTGATGTGCATCATTAGCCGTAGCTATGACAACAGAGCCAAGATTGAAGCAGCTTCAATCGATGTGGGACCCCATCAATGTGCGGGGTTGCTGCAATACATTGAATACTATGCAGGGAGCGCCAAACTTTCGAAGAAATTGATCGAATCCGGTCTCCGTGGGTGCAGCTTTGACATACTCTACAATGACGAACACAACATGTTGCTAGCGAAAGGGTTGCGTTTGTTTCTGGATGCAGCCACAGCGTGTGAGAAGAAGGCTTTGCATTGGTGGGGCACTCCGTGCTCTTCTTTTGTCATTATGTGCTCATTTCGTTCCCAACGTGCTGAAAGCAACGGCTGGGAAGGCGCATGGACTGAGCGGGACTTTGTATTGCAGGGAAATTGTCAGGCCCTTGTTTGCTCACTTGGGATTTTCCTGGGATGGGCATGTGAGTGCTGCCCTGTGGTGGAACAGCCCCTCAGCTCCTGTATGCCGCACCTCGAGTGTGTCAAAACAGTTCTATCCTTTTGTGGCTTCGAAAAGACTTGCACCTACATGGGTGCCTTTAACGGAAAGTCAGTGAAGCCCTTGCAACTGTGGCATTTGCCTGGGTTTCATTTTGAGAACCTGGCCAGGCCCAAACCAGATCATAATGCTTTCATTGGTCTGGTAAACCGAGGCGAAGACGGCCGTTTCACCGGTGTGCCAGCAGATGTACAGGCTAGTGGGGAATACACTTCGATGTTCGGGGAAGCAGTTGCGCAGATTGTCCGGAATCTATTGTGACGATCCGCTTCGTCAGCCAAAATACGTTTCATAGCTTACTGAGCTGCATGCTTTTTATTATTCAAGCCAATCTGCTGTGACTGGTTTTTGGGGTGTGAATGCTGTGACACAACAGCAACAGCAGGCCATGCAGCAACACAGGTAAAACAGTGCGATGACTGATGAGAAGGTTGCATAACAATTGAGACACAAGTCTGATTTGCTTGCAGCCTTATGTCGATGTGGCTGTCTCAGTGAACACACTTTGAGGAACAGAATTGATATGGCTCTTTCAGTGAACACACTTGAGGAGGATTCCTCAAGATTTCCTCAAATTCGAATCGTCAACCTTGCCAAGCAATGCCATGCTGACTCAAGATTTCCTCAACCTTGCAGCAACCTGTTTAAGTTGACAGGTTGTTCTGAGCAGTGTGAGGAAACAATAGATGCCATCCACTGTGACCTTGCCCGATGTGCCCATGTCGGTGCAAGGGGTCAGTGGCATGGCACAAGTGAACACACTTGAGGAACAATTTCTTGTTGACAATTTGGGAGTCACACCTTTGCAGCTTCTGCCGGCTCTTGCACAGACGTCCTCAGCCTTGCGAAAACCTGTTGGTGTTGCCGGGCTCTCACCCGAAGAGCCATCAAGTTTCCTTGCTTGGGGACACAAAGGCCAGCCATCTAGTGTGACCTTGCCCGACGTGCCAATGTCGGTGCAAGGGGTCACTGGAATGGCACAGCTTCCGGTTGCTCTGTTCACACACCGGCTTGGACAGAAATAATACTACATTTTTTCATGGTTTTCTCAACAATTTTCAGTGTCTGCAAATCTCCAGTTACATTAATTCTGGACAAACCTACCGTGTCGTAACGTATCCAATAAGTCTTTGTTCAGGTTGACTTCTGATTTTGATAACTTTGGTTTTTGCCAAGCCCACTGATCCAGCCCCCGCGGATCCAACCCTACAAACGAGCATATTGATTAATTTGGGATACTCTGAATTTTGTGGCCCTGTCGGGTTGGGGCTTTCAACTTCGGGTATGGGATTTAAGCATTTGGGGCTTGCAGGGTTCAGGGGTTCAGTTCCTGGCTTAAGGCTTTCGGGATTGAGTGCCTTGGCATGCTTTGGGTTAGGGCTTACGGCTGAAGTTTCAAGGGACTTGGGACGTCAGCGGCTCCAAAATTAAGGCTTTTGGGGGGTTGATTGCTGTGGGGTAGCTGTTAAGTGCTGGGAATTGGGGTTCCAAGGGCTTGAGGCTTTGTCGGCTCCAAAATGAAGGCTTTCGGGCTTGATGTTTTTTGGCTGGGGCTTAAGTGTCAGGATTTGGTGTTCAAGGTTCATCGGTTCGTCCTTCCCCCCGTAGCTTTAAAACTGGACCCTAAACCCTAAGCCCACAGCCCTAAGCCCTAAGCCCCAACCCTTAAACCCTAATCCATACAACCTAAACCAGGCCCGCGTAAAGCTACATGGGAGTTTCCACAAATAGGGGACCCCAATATAGTATCCTAACATCCTTATTATAAGGACCCCAAAATAAGGTACCCCCAATTGTCGGAAACTCCCACATGTCGGGAAACTCCCAGGCTTTCAAGGGCGGCCAACTCTCCCGCGGCCTCAAGGCCCTGCCAACGCCTGGAAAGCACTAAGGGAGCTTTTCTAAGATGCTTTCGGGTTCAGGTGTGGTTTGCGTTTAGGGCTTAGGGGTTCAGGGTCTAGGAACTTGGGGTATATAACCCTAGACCCTAAACCCTAACAGCCTAATATAGGGTTTCGTGCAGAATCGCCGGGAGACTAGACTTGGGGTTTTCGGCTTTCTATCAAAGCCGAATTCTACCGTCGACCCAAGCCAGAAGGCAAGCTGAACTTCCCGCACATGAAGGGAGATTTTCTGAAATAACAGCCCCCAACGACCATCCACATTCCTCGCACGCGTCTGAAGATACTACTCCCCGGTGGCAGTGTATATCGTCCCTATTCCAGGAACTTAGGGGTACTTAGAAATATTTTTTTAATTTTTTGTTATTAAAATCCCTAAGAAACAGCTAAAATGAGAATTTTTGCTAAGGTTCCAAGTTCAGTATAGATTCCAGGGAATGCAGCCTGAAAGCCGTAGCATGTTCAGAGTTCAGGCTCGTCTTGCGTGCGCACTTCGGGTGGATGCAATCAGGATGTATCAAAAGCAGACAGACCAAAGGCTAGAGCATTGCTACTATTTGCTTAAGAACCCCCAAAAAAATAAAAAATATATTCCTTATGGGTGTAATATAGGGATTATTATTTCTATTTTTTGGGTGTTTCTTAAGCAAATAGTAGCATTGTTACTAGGGTTTAGGGTTTTAGGATTTAGGGTTTAGGGCTTGGGTTTAAGGTTTTAGGTTTTTGTCAGGGTTTGGGGTTTCCTCTCAAAGTGCCACTTCTTGAGGGAACTGACTTCGGGTGGAAGGCACCTTCGTTTTGCGAGAGACTCGGAGTCTATGGGTGCGTGGTTGACGCCTCTTACGGTTTAGGTTGGAAGGGGCCCCCACCCTGTAATAGTGACTATAAGGATTATATTAGGGCCCTATTATATTCCTATTATACCACTATTACAGGGTGGGGACCCCTCTAAGGTTTAGGGTATAGAGTTTCTGTTCTGCTTCAGCGTTCGGTTCGTTATTTCAAGGCCCGTGGGTACTCCAAGGCGATGCCTCTCGATGCTCAATCCTGATACTTAGTGACTTAGTAGCTGAGTTTATGAATTTTAAACCTTTTGGGATAATGAAACCCTCTTAAGACTGAAAGTTTAAACTTTCTTGGGCGAATGAACTCGGCGACTATGGATATCTTGGCAGGCTTTCATGACTCGCGTCACTACACCCGTGGGACAAGTGGTGACTTTCGTCCTTTTCGCAGCCCTGACGGGTATGGGCTCCTCGGTGCGAAGACCCAAAAGCCATGCCTTCAAAGCGTCTCTGCTGTGATTCTCGTCGTATTGACGATAGCTACAGTTGTGTTCCCTGCAGCACACCCACCCTAAACCCTAAACCCTGAACCTTTTTCGAAGTGTTATTAAGGCCACGGCTGAGACCGAACCTGACCAGGCACTGTCCGCCAACCAGTCCCTGAAAGCAAGTGGCATGCCCTACCCTACAATGGGCTATCTAATGGGTATATAATCGCTATATTAAGGGTATTATACCTAGGCGTCCTTATTAAGGGTCCCTCCTTTTAGTCTCGAAAGGAACCACGTTGCATGGTGTCTTATGGCCAGCTACTCGATACTACAAACAGTGGGGCATCTTCTCAGACCCTCAAAACTCGGCAATCCCAAGCATATGAACCTTGCCTGAAAAGGTCTCCACCTTTGTGGGCACCTCTGAGTGCTGAGCTAAGGTATCTGGGGATCGACGATGATCTACAAGGCCTGATAAAGGGGCTAGGATTTCGGAAAGCTGTTTCGCCTCTCAACATGGAATGCATCAGGGACGGCGGCTGCGCTGATAGACTATGTGACAGCGACGACGTGCTTGCCGTGAGGATGATGATCAAGAATTCGGCTGTTGGAGTGTTGGGTTGCGCATTCAGGGAGGTCTCGTCCTTACAGGAAGCTTACATAACCCATGCACAAGATTCTTCTCTAAGTCTGTACAGACCGGCCGAATAAACCCGAAAGAGGACTTCAAGCTGGAGTGGTTCATCCCAGACTCTTCCTACGTGCGCCCTGCCGGCCTTTTGAGTTGCTAGGATGCCCAGTACTACCCTTATTCCCTTTTTGTAGTCCTAGGTTCCTTATTCCTGGGTTACTGGGCATCCTAGGTTGGGTCGGTTAGAAGTTTGAGGCTTCGGATTTGTTCGGGTTCAGGGCTTGGGCTGACGCCACCAAACTCAAACCCCGCATGCCAAGGCCTGCAGCTACACGCATATAGACTTATCTAGACATAGACTTAGTATGTATGTACGTATGTAATTGCGGTTTTATTTATGTATGTATGTACGTGCATACGTATGTATGTACATATGTATATATATATATATATGTATATGTATCTGCGTGTAGGTATACATGTATGTACATACATATGTACAATGAACGTATGTATGTATTTATGTGTGTATGGCTGTATGTAAGTATGTTTGTACATACAGACCTTAACCTTTGCCTTAAGCCCAAAGCTTCAAGCCATCCAAACCAAACTTCGAATCCAGATCCGCTGAACAGGCTTGGACTGTTGAGATGTTTCGTTGAATATTGGGCGTCTGTTTTCAGCCCTAAGCCCCCAGGAAAACACCTGAACCGTCAAGCAAAAGCCCTAAACGCGACATCGTAAGCCCAAAGCCTCAGACAGTGAGTCCTAAACAACTGAACCTGCGTCCGGAGTTGGGAAGCCTCCTGATGCCGACGTCGACTCTAAACCCTAAAGCCCTATAAGTATAAGCCTAAACTATCCTAAACCCTACTTGGAGGTTCATGGGTAGTTATAAGTGGGTTACAGGTCCCCTAATATGGGTTACAAGTATAGTTACCTTACTTATAACCTTACCTATAATTTACCCATGCACCTCCAAGTAATCCTACCGAAAAGGAGACCAAATCCGAGGAATGAGTTCTTCAACATCAACTCCGAGTTCTTTGCCACCGGCACCCCTATCACGGTGAATATGCGGGACAACTTGGCCACCTTCGACGCCCAGGGGAACCTCAGGGAGATGCCCTTTGGCTGGGTTTTTGTTAAGGGATTGCATTCAAGTTACCATAAGAAAGAAACCATTTAAATTACTATAGGCCCCTATTATGGTAACTTACATGAAAACCTTTAACAAGAACCCCATGGGTGGAAGTTTTCGGAACTCCGAAAGCACCGATGTTGAAGGAGGTCTTGGCAAGGAGACTGTCTGCAATTCAAGAACCTCCAAGGGTCCAAGTGCCCATGTAGTAATATGCTGTGCCCTAAACCCTAAACCCTAAACCCCTGAACCCTAAACCCTAAACCCTAAACCCCTGAACCCTAAACCCTAAACCCTAAACCCTAAACCAGTAATATGCTGTGCCCCTTAAGTACCTTTGTAGGGATTACTTTAAGGCCAAAGCGTATACCGTAGGAGTACAGGGACCCCAGGGGAGTCCCAGAGACTCCGATATCCCTTGGTTAAGGAATATACCCCAAGTGATAGTAGGATCCATTATATGATTTAAAGTATATTCCTTAATTAAGAGATCTTAGAGCACTCTAAACCCTAAACCCGAAAGATCCCTTGTATGATTTAAAGTATATTACTTAATTAAGGGATCGTAGAGCACCCGAAAGGGTCGAGAGTTTAGAGTTCAGGGTTTGGGGGTTTAGGGCTTAGGATTTGTAGAGTTCAAGGTTTGCCGTTTAGGGTTAAGGGGGGGCTCAGGGCTTGAGCATGAATTACGGTACGCTTGCCTGGCTGGTAGCACAGCTTTGCCGACACCCCCTCCCAGTCTATGCCCGGATAAAACACGCTTTCTTGCGTCCCTGCGTGCGGAAGCTCGTGTATGTCTGGGAGCCTAGACCTCAGGCTTTTCTCCCTAGAAACTCCACTGCAGCAAGGCACAACTACCTGACAACGACGAACCTGGTGAACCAGGACGTGGCAGTGGACAGCTGGTGCCCGGACTTGATCTTTGATGAATGAGGTTCCAAGCGCGGCTGTGTCACCTTACACCGTAGACGGTATGGCCCTTGCCTAGCCTGAGCCCTTAACCCACAGCCGCAGCATATCAGAGATTCCTCCCGTCATAGCAGGGATCATGAATAAGGGATGCTGAATCCTATCAAAAGCCCCTAAGCCCCGGCAGAGAACACGAGAAGCCTTAAAGAAGAAGTATCACTGACGCTTCAATCCGAAGTCCAAAGCCCCAAACCGCTTACAGTAAATCCTACTTGGAGGGTCGGGGGACTTAGTAAGTAGGCAGTAAGTAGACTTATAAGTACCCTAAAAGGGATCCTAACTGGGGTTATGTTACTTCTAAGTCCCTAAAATAACCAGTTACTAAGTCCCGCGACCCTCCAAGTAAACCCCAAACCTTGATGTAGTGACAGCACTAGCAGGAGGAAAAAGGGGCGATAAAAGATCTGATGTAGGGCTTTTGAATCTCAGCGTTTGTGGCTTCAGGGCACCCTAAACCCTAAACCCCTTTTTGTAGACCCTGAAAAACGAGGATATCGAAGCTGCAAAGTTTAGCTGCAGCAGGCGGATGCAGCGACTCCCAGACCGAAACACCTCGTCTCAACAGATGGGGCTTCGGGTTTAAGGCTTAGGGTTTAGGGCTTAAGGTTTAGGGTTTAGGGCTTAGGGTTTAGGGTTTAGGATTTAGGGCTTGTGTTTCCGACTTCTTGGTTTCTGGGGCGCCCTCCACGTGACGATTGAGGTCACCAAGCTCCTAAATTTCGAACGGCAAGCCCAAAACCCTAAACATCCCCAAGCCCGAGTGCAATCCTATCTGGGCAGATCATGGGCCATCAGTGGAAACTCACGAAGCAAGTTCCTTCTTTATGTGGATTTCAAGCTTTTGCTGTGTCTTGAGTTTGGGCTGCGAGTGTGCGCACGTGTGTGTTTGTGTGTGTGTGTAGGTAGGTAGACCTCGAAGCCGTAAGGTATGAGGAGTTCATGGAGTGGGCCGTGGACCCAACTCAGGCCAGGTCGGAGAAAGCTTGTGTGGCCTTAGGGTCTGCGCTTTTGGGACTTCCACACCAAGTTCAGGGTTTAGGGTTAGGGGTTGCCCCCCGTAAAATTTAAAAGCTAGCCCTGTCGGCCTTGTGATTTCGAGCACAGGGTTCGGAGGAGATGGTCTTTCCTGCCAAGCTTGTCCAACATGTCCAACTTGATCCTGTTTTGGTGCTTTCCGTCCAGCTCAGGAAGAACAGCGATGGTTTTCTGTTCGGAGATAGGCTTCGCTTGGCAATCCAGAAAGCTCAACACCCCAATGACTTGAAGGCAGTTTAGCCATCCCGTGAACCCTGCGCCATAGAACCGAAACCCTAAGCCTTGGCTACTTCAACCCATCACCCAGGCTGCCACCGCCAGCGCCGTCTTCACGCCTTCGCGAACCGATCCGGATGCTAAATTCCAAGACTCGTCGGCATTCTACACGGCTGCCTGGCAGGTTTGGAATTGGGAGTTTCCGAACATTAGGGTACCTTATTCTGGGGTCCTTATAATAAGGATCCTACTATTTAGGGTACTATATTCGGGTCCCCTATTCTTCGGAAACTCCCAGGTTGGGGTCTTGAGCAAAGTTCACCCTTGAATTGGATCTAAGCCCATTATAATTGCTAAGCCCATAACCGTAGCGAAAGCTTAAAAGCTGAAAACCCGCGGCCCTAAGCCCTCTGAATGATCGCCGAGGGAAATCTGAACTACGAGCCTTCTTAAGCCTGTAACCTCTTACTTCAAGGTTTGGGTTTAGGGATTGGGAAGGGGTTTGTCGTTTCCTGTTTTTTCTTGATATGGTTCGCGGAGTCCTGCTGGCACATTGAAACACAGATGCTTGAGCCCATGCCAAGGTCACGGCAACAGGTCGGCGTAGGCGTAGGGTTGTTGCATGAAGTTTGGGCAGGCAGTCTCTGAGCTTCGCATCCGACCCTACTGTCCAAGTCGTTTCTACCCATAGGCCCCAGGGTAGTTCCTTTTTGGGATTGCCTTATAGGATTCTACATATGAACCCCCCGAAGGAACTACTTCGGGGCCTATGGGTAGGTAGGCCTTTGGGACATTTTGTGTTTGCCGTTTTGGGGATCTTATTTACGAAGATTTTCAAAGGCTTTGAAGGGCTAGCCTGGGTTTCTACTATCAGTTGTTGTCATTATTGTTGCTGTTGTCGTTATTCGTGTCATTTTCTATTGCAGCTATCTTCTGGTATTGTCATCATTGTTGTTATGATGACTAGTAATGGTATTGTTGCATGTACTACTAGTATCACAACCGTCAGTATTTTTGGCGACAGCGGCATCCAAAGCCGGTCCTCTGCACTGCTCTGAGGGATGAGGCGATCGCGATCAAGCCGAACTACCAGTTTAGGGTTCAAGGGGTGGGCGGGTTTCCGATGTGCATGCCACCTGTCCTACAGCACTGCACGATAGTAGGCCGCCGTCACATCCGTGTCAGCTGTAGCGTAGCGACCTGCTGCGGTCCTGGGCCCAGGCTCTGTACACCTGGTACCGTGGCACCACCGGTTCTCGTTATCGAGGCTCGATGATTTGGGCCTCTCTGCTGCAGCCTCGAGGGGTTGGGTGCTGCAACTCTTGTAGAAACTAGCAGCTAGCAGAGCTCTATCGACTCATAGATCCGGGCGCCAGACTCTTAACTGAGTAGGATAAATAGGCTTTGCCATATCTTTGAACCCTTGGATGCGTGGCTCTGAGATGTGAATGGTTGTTGACAAGAAGCCCAAGAAGCCATATAACCGGATGGCGGTGGTGGTGGTGGTCGTTGTGCTGGTTGCAGCATTAGCAGTAGTTGTGTGGCAGTAGTAGGACTAGTAGTAGTAGTAGTAGTAGTAGTAGTAGTAGTAGTAGTAGTAGTAGTAGTAGTAGTAGCAGTAGCAGTACTAGTAGCAGTAGCAGTAGGAGTAGTAGTAGTAGTAGTAGTAGTAGTAGTAGTAGTAGTAGTAGTAGTAGTAGTGGTACTAGTAGTAGTAGTAGTAGTAGTAGTAGTAGTAGTAGTAGTAGTAGTAGTAGTAGTAGTAGCAGTAGCAGTAGCAGTAGTAGTAGTAGGAGCAGTAGCAGTAGCAGTAGCAGTAGCTGTAGCTGTAGCAGTAGCAGTAGCAGTAGCAGTAGCAGTAGCAGTAGCAGCAGCAGCAGCAGGAGCAGTAGCAGTAGCAGTAGCAGTAGCAGTAGCAGTAGCAGTAGCAGTAGCAGTAGCAGTAGCAGTAGCCGTAGCCGTAGCAGTAGCAGTAGCAGTAGCCGTAGCAGTAGCAGTAGCAGTAGCAGTAGCAGTAGCAGTAGCCGTAGCAGTAGCAGTAGCAGTAGCAGTAGCAGTAGCAGTAGCAGTAGTAGTAGCAGTAGCAGTAGCAGTAGCAGTAGCAGTAGCAGTAGCAGTAGCAGTAGCAGTAGCAGTAGTAGTAGTAGTAGTCGTCGTAGTAGCAGTAGTAGTAGTTCTAGTTGTTGTTGCTGTGGCCCGAGACTCAAGAAAGTGGGCAGTATTAGCAGCACAGCAGCAGTAGCAGTAGTAGCAGTGGGAGGAGTCGTAGCAGCAGTAGTATTCGTCGTCGTGGTCGTCAATGACGGAGTCGTCGCCGTGGTCAGGCTCGTGCCGGGTCGTAATCGTAGTATATGTCGTCGTGGTGGTGGTAGTAGTGGTTGTGGTGGCCTTGCCAGTATTGGTGTAGTTGTCGTAGCCTTATTCCGAGTATTGCTGTAGCCGTCGTCGTCGCACCACGAGTAGCAGCGGCAATGATGGCAGCAGCAGCAGCAGTAGGTAGAGGCGGCAAGAGGAACGCCAAATGCACAAAAGCCCTAAGCCCTAAACCCTAAACCCTGAACCCTAAGCCCTAAACCGTTCTCATGCTTCTTTTCCATAGCAGCTCCCTCTGCCGAGGCCTCCGGGAGGATCTAGAAAGTAGATCCCCTAATTTGGGGCCCTATACTGCTAAGGATACTTTAGGAACCCACATTAAGGGATGTACTTCGAGGCCTCAAGTGCATGCAACTTGGACGCCGGCTCGGAAGTCGTTCCGAATGGCTGCGTGGCTCGGCGGGGAGCTCTCTTGGAAAAGCTGTTATAGGAACCCTTAGGTATATTACCCTTAAGATAGCTATTATATACTTATTATATAGCCCATTATAGGGTAGGGGTCCCCATTAAGGGTCCCTCCTTATTTTTCGAAGGCTTGCTCTATGCTTGTCGACCAGTAGTTGTAGCTGTCGCTGTCGCCGTTGTCTGGCAGCCTTCCTCGTCGTAGTGAGCGTGTAGTGGTAGACGTAGTTGCTGCTCCTGCTGCTCCTGCTGCTACAACAACAACAGCAACAACTAGTACTGCGACGGCGACTGCTACTAATACTGCTGTTGCTCCTATTCTCAGCGGTTCACTCCGTCTCCGACAACGATGGCAGCGATCTTGTTGATCGTCTCCAGTACAGTTATGGTGCAGGATGGCGGTTCTGTTGAAGTTTCTTAAGCAGGGAAGAACACCGACGCCAGTGCATGCAAAACATGTGATCTACAGCCGCTACAGTACAGGTCCAGGGCTCTGGCAGTGCCAAGGTGATTTCTGATGGCCTGCGGGCTAGCCGCTTCAACGCCGAGCTCTCACTGGCAGCCACCGACAAGGGCCTCTACCCGGCATTTGTGTGGCCAGTGCTTGCGAGTAGCAGTTTCATCGAACCACACTTGGAGGTTCATGGGTCGGTTTAAGTAGGGTTAAAATTATGAGTAAGGTAGCTATATTATGCTTAGAGCCCATATTAGGGGACTTATAACCCCACTTATAACTGCCCTGCAGCGTCGCGCCTTGCCTTACACCAAACTTACGAAGCCCGAAGCCTTAGACTTTGTGTGCTGGCAGCTTGCGTCATCTTGTTGCTATCCCCACCCACACTTAAAACCCTACTGGCCCTAACTCTCCAACCCTTACGCCCTTCAGATCCCTACATCCTAAAACCCTGACCCTAAAAACAAAACCCTAAAACCCCTAAACCCTGAACCCTGAGCCCGACTCAGAGCCCTGAACCCAGAAACCCCACCGCGACCAAGGCACCAACCGCTATGACACCATGACTTCCATGCGCCACTTGACTGTTTAGGGTTTAGGGCTTAGGGTTTAGGGTTTAGGGTTTAGGGTTCTCGAGCCTCTAAACTGCCTCAACACGGTTCAGGGCCTAGATTTGTGTAGAAAGTTTAGAGCTTTAAGCTCCCAGCCCCTAAACGCACTCAACACGGTTCAGGGCCTAGGTTTGTGTAGAAAGTTTAGAGTTCTAAGCTCCCAGACTCCAAGGCCCTGAAGAAGATCCCTGCTCCGTAAACCTCTTACGCTCTGAGAACCCATGCAAAATCAGCGACATCCCTAATATAGGGGTCGGAATGATCTGGAAAGATCGCCCCTTAGAGTCCTTAAAAATAGCCACTTAAAGTCCCCAACAAATGCCCCTTAAAGTCCCTAAAAGACAGCCCCTTAGAGTCCCTATATAGTTGCACCACAAAGCCCCTCCCAAAGTTCTTCTAAGTATTGCGGGCCCTTCGAGAAAAGGTTCAAAAACTCATCGTAAACCTGTAAAAACCAAGAAAACCCAGCATGAAGCCCTCAGCAACGCCGAGGTCAAAGGTGCGACGAGCTCTACCCCGGCTCCTTCCCCTATAGCTTCGACTTCCTCTACTGGGAGGCATGTGGGTGGTTGTCAAAATTAGGGTCACTCTTGGGGTACCCCAAATATTAGGTGCCGTATTATATCAAGGACCCAAAAACGGACCATCATTTTGACAACCACCCATGTGGCGAATTGCAGGGGAGGTTTAGGGATGGTTTCGGGTTTCTGTCTAGGGGCTGTGCTTTCGAAGCTTCGATCCGCAAAATTGGGAGCGTAAGAAGCGCACGGCGAGGGACACTTTCACGAACTGCTACCTGCTACCTGTGCTTTGGAGCATCGGTGTTGCTTTGGCATTGCTACCGGTGATGTGTGTTGATGTCCGGCTGTTTGGAGTGCTCTGTTGCCCCAAAGGGTCCAAAGTACCTATATAGTAGAATGTAGGGTTTCTCTATTAGGAATTGCTATTATGAATTGGGGAAGTCTTCCCCAAAACAGTACATAGGACCCCTTGGGTGCATGAAAACAGCAGAGCACGCAACGCGCAGCCCGGGCAGAAGGGTCTCGGTCAACCCGGAGACTCCAATAACCCTTAATGAACTACTTGGAGGTTCATATGTAGTTAAAGGTGGGGTTCTAAGTCCCCCCAATATGGGTTATAAGTACAGTTACCCTACTTATAACCCTACTTATAACTACCCATGAACCTCCAAGTAGGGAATATGCCTTAAAACTATAGCAGGATCCCTAATGTGATTCAGGGCATATTAATTACTTAGTTGAGGGATATCGGAGTCTTTGGGAAGCACCCATCTTTCGCTGCAGGAGGTTGGTGTCATTGACGTCGAGCTGGTGCGCAACCTTCTTATCTGCGGCGGCGTCATCTTGGTTGTGCCTGGATGTGTTTTCAGAGCTTAGTTGTAGTGTTATCGGGTATACGAAGAAGTACATACCATTGCACAAAGAGGTCGTACTGATAGGAAAAATGCTGCGCAACAGGGGTCATGGTTCAACACACTCTATCACTGGCAGTAAGAGTGAGGATGTACCTGCGGCCGACCAAATCCTGCATTGGGGCGCTGGATGAGCAAAAGATTTTGGCTGCATAATCTGGTTATACCAACCAACTTCTAGTTTACGTTAGGGCTTTGGAATTTCAGTTTTTTTTTGCTTTCCAGTGTGTCCCAGCGAAGGGCTGCAGCAAAGATTTGGTTTCGGAGTCTACGCTGCGAAAGGTCATCTTCGCCCTGGTGCCGGCTCCGCGCATTGCCATCTGGGTGGTTCTTTGCACCGTGTCTACACACTTAGAGAGTTGTTAGGTTTACATTGATGTGCAGGGCATGGAGGCCCGCCAAGGAGCATGCAAGAGGATGCCCATAGGCTGAAGAAGCTTTGGGTGTCAGTGTTGAGACTGTGTTGGGATGTCTATGCGTTGCAACGTTTGGTGGGCTGAAGCTGCGGCATAGCCACATTCCTCAAAATAAGGGTTTAGGGTTCAGGGTTCAGGGCCCTCAGCTGCAACTGTTGAGCTTCGAAGAGCTTGAGAGCACGAGGATGTCAAACCCTCGCCGGCGACCCGGGACCCCCTCTTTGGCCACTCCTACATCACGCCGTCTTAGGTGTTGCCCTGTCCATCGTGGATACGCTGGGCTTCATGCGCCCGGGTTAGAGACTTGTTGCGTCACTAGGGGTTGGTGCTTTGGGATTGCTGGACAGAAGATTCTCCAAGATTCGCGCATGGCTCTGCGTCTGCAGGCATAAGGACGTCTCGTTTGCTGCTGAACCCGTAAGGGTTCACACGAGAGAACCAGGCCGAAGAAGCCCTGAGCCTTTGCAGTCGGATTTCAGGCATGATGCGCAGCTGTCGTGATACAGCTTGAATTTCCCGTAGAGGTGCCTGTGCATGCATAAATGATGTTAAAGACTCTTGAACCCAACAGACCTGAAACATGGAGCTTGATCTCTGAAGGGCTTAGTTCCGGGGTTCAGAGTTTTAGAGCTTCAAGAGCTCTTTCTTTGTGTCGGGAGGTTTTAGGGTTTATGGTTGAAACTCTGATTGGACTCTAAACCCTGAGCCGTAGGCCTTTCAATTTGATTTAGGCTTTCGGGTATGGGAGCAGGCACTCCAGCTCCCCCAGCAAAGCAGTGTCTGATACGGGGTCCGGGACAGGTCCCCGTATCATTATTGTTGTTGTTGCTACCACTATTCACTGTTATTGTCATGGTCGTTCTTATTACGTCAGGTATGTCTATAGTATACCTTAAACCCTTTCTACTTATGAGGGCCCCTGTATTGCATGCTTGTCATACAGGTACTTCTGGGATGTTACCATCAGTGGCGTCTCCACCATCTACCTCTTGCTCCTGGGCTGCACTTCGTGATGGGATTCGGGTTTCGTGAAGAACTTGTCCAAGACCCAGTGCTAGAAACCGAAATCTCACACAGACGCATTCGCTCCTGCAGTGCAGTCTTGTCTGAGTCGTCTTCATTGGTCTGCAATCCCATGACCAGAATCCTCGCATGCACTTGATAAGGATTCCTCTCGTCATGATCGTAAACCCTAAACCCTAAACCCTTGTCGTATGTGTGCGAACGTACGCTCTGTGTACTCGCGCTCGAGCAGGCCATGCTTGTCAGGTCTTGAGGCTATCTGGAGGCTAGAGAGAAGAGGGGCCCCTCATTCAAAGGCTGGGATCCCTGTTGGGGGTGGTCGTCAGAACAGTTGCAAGTCCCTACACCCGAAAGCCTAAAGCCCGAAACCCTAAACCCTAGATCTGCAAGCCCTTTTTGTTGGGTTTGGGCTTTAGGGTTTAGGTTTGTCTATTTCATAATCGCCTCTCAGGATCTGCGTTGGCCTCGCGGTGGATTATGCAGCCCATATTGCGCACATGTTCAAGGACACAGTTTGGGGTAAGGGTCTAGGGTTTAGGGGTTTAGGGTTTAGGGTTCAGGATTTAGAGCAAAAGGCGGGCATCCATTCGCAAGTCAGAGTGGACCGGGCGATCCGTTGAAGTTGTTGTGTGAGCTGATGAAGTATCTGTGCGGTCTCCACTGTATATATTGGGTGGTTGGCAAAATTAGGGTCC